GTCGCTCGTACGTCTATGATGCATGCGGCTGCCCCCCATTTTCTGTGGCCGTTTGCGGTGAGGTACGCGGCGCATCAGATCAACCTCCACCCCAGGGTCTCCAGGCCGGAGACCTCCCCAGCCTTGCTGTGGACGGGGAAGGTTGGCGATGCGTCGGCGTTCCGGGTCTGGGGATCTCGGGCGTTTGTCCGCGACCTGTCTGCGGACAAACTATCCCCTCGTGCTGCTCCTTGCGTCTTCCTGGGGTTCCCCCCTGACGCGCCTGGGTGGCAGTTTTACCACCCCACCTCTCGCCGTGTTCTGTCCTCCCAGGACGTCACGTTTGACGAGTCGGTCCCCTACTACCGCCTCTTCCCCTACCGCACTCCGTCCCTCCCCCCACCCCCACTCTTCCTGGTACCAGGTCCCCCCCAGGTAGACCCCCTCCCCCCTCAGGGTCCTGCCCCTTCAGGTGTGTCCCAGGTAGACGCAGTCGAGCCTGTCGAGGTCACTGGTGACTCTGGTGCTGCTGAGGGTGCTGAGGCTGGGGGTGCTGTACCTGGGGGTGCGGAGCCTAGGGGTGCTGGGCCTGGGGGTGCTACGTCTGGGGGTGCTGAGCCTAGGGGTGCTGAGCCTAGGGGTGCTGAGCCTGGGGGTGCTGAGCCTCGGGGTGCTGAGCCTGGGGGTGCTGAGCCTGGGGGTGCTGAGCCTGGGGGTGCTGAGCCTAGGGGTGCTGAGCCTGGGGGTGCTGAGCCTAGGGGTGCTACGTCTGGGGGTGCTGAGCCTAGGGGTGCTACGCCTGGGGGTGCTGAGCCTGGAGGTGCTCCACCTGGAGGTTCTCCGAGTGCTTCGTCTCGCCGGGAGCCACTTTCTCCACAGGAGCTGCGTGAGTGGTTTGCCCGGCGCTGGAGGCGTGCTGCTGGTGCTGGAGGTCCTTCGGCTGCTGAGGGTGCTGCGGTCGCGGGTCCCGGAGGTGCTCGTCCTGGGTGCACTGGAGCTGGTGCTGCTGAGGGTGTTGGCGCTGAGACTACCGCTGGCAGTCCTGCTGGGGGTGCTCCTGGTGCTGCTGGAGGTTCTGGAGCTACTGGTGGTGCTGCTGGAGCGGGTGCTCCTGCTGAGGGTTCTGGTGCTGTCCCTGCTGCTTCTAGCGTCGCCGCGCGGCCTCGACCGTACTTCGTTCCACTCCTGCAGCAGGTTCTTGGTCTTCCACCTTCTACTGGTCCTCCTCCTCCCTTAGAGTGTCCACAGCCTGTCTCGTCCCAGCTACAGTTGCAGCCTACCTCCCCTTTGCCTGCTCCTTCTCCCTACACTGGTCCTACTGGAGGTCTGGCTGAGCGTCGAGAGCCTGCGTCTCGCCCTGCGTCGCCTGTCCGTGCTGCTCGCACTAGTGGTCGCGGTTCGCGTCAGCGTCCTCCTCCTGTCCCTGGCACGCACCGGATGTCTCTGCGTCCGTCCACTGCTCCTCTGCGTGCCCCTTTGCCTTCTCCTCCTGAGTCCTCTCTTCCTGCTCTTGCCGACCCGGAGTCGGACTCTCTTCGTGCTGCCAGTCCTACTGTCACGCGTCTCCTTGCTACTGTTGTCACTGACCCTTCTTTCGAGTCTACTGCTGCGTCTGCTCTCGTTACTGAGCTCGTCGACTTTGCTGCTCGCTGTCGCTTAGACTACGCTGCTAGTCTTGTCGCTGAGTCTGAGTCTGTCTGTCCTCCGTCCGTCGGGGGTGAGTGTGCCCTTGGCACGGACGTCCTTGAGGACAGGCAGGAGGAGTTCCAGTGTCTGGCAGCTGCCTCACCTCATCTCGTGTCCGTACTGCTTACCCCTGAGGGAGACCCGGATGCACTTGACATCCCGACTCCGCGCTCTTACGCGGAGGCGATAGAGGGTCCCTACTCCTCTCAGTGGCAGGCAGCTATGGATGCAGAGATGGCTTCCTGGAAGTCCACAGGCACCTACGTTGACGCTGTCCCCCCTCCTGGGGCGAACATCGTCAGTGGCATGTGGATCTTCAGGGTGAAGCGGCCGCCGGGTTCTCCGCCTGTCTTCAAGGCGCGTTACGTGGCTCGTGGCTTCAGTCAGCGGCAGGGAGTTGACTACTTTCAGACCTTCTCCCCCACCCCGAAGATGACCACTCTTCGGGTACTGCTGCACGTTGCTGCTCACCGTGACTACGAGCTGCACTCTCTTGACTTCAGCACAGCTTTCTTGCAGGGCAGCCTGCACGAAGAGATCTGGCTGCGTCGCCCACCTGGCTTCACTGGGTCTTTCCCTCCTGGTACCCAGTGGAGTCTCCGGCGTCCAGTCTACGGTCTCCGCCAGGCGCCACGTGAGTGGCACGACACACTGAGGACTACGCTTGCGGCTCTTGGGTTTGCTCCTTCTACTGCCGACCCGTCGCTGTTTCTACGCACCGACACCTCTCTGCCGCCGTTCTACATCCTCGTGTACGTCGACGACTTGGTCTTTGCCACAGCTGACACTGCTGGACTCGCCTACGTGAAGTCCGAGCTGCAGAAGAGACACACGTGCACAGACCTGGGTGAACTGCGCAGCTACCTTGGCTTGCAGATCACCCGGGACAGAGCACGCCGCACCATTACCCTGACTCAGTCACACATGGTGCAGCAGGTCCTTCAGCGCTTCGGCTTCACGTACTCCTCGCCTCAGGCCACTCCTCTGTCTACTCGCCACTCGCTCTCAGCTCTGCCTTCGGATGAGTCCGTAGAGTCGAGTGGCCCGTACCCAGAGCTTGTTGGCTGCCTCATGTACCTGATGACCTGCACACGACCTGACCTTGCATACCCTCTTAGCATTCTTGCACGCTATGTTGCTCCTGGGAGACACAGACCAGAGCACATGGCTGCAGCGAAGAGGGTGTTGCGCTACTTGTGCAGTACGTCGGGCATGGGGCTAGTGCTTGGAGGGCGGAGTCCAGTGGTCCTCACTGGGCACGCGGACGCTTCTTGGGCTGACGACCAGGCTACGCAGCGGTCGTCACAGGGTTACACCTTCAGCCTTGGTTCCGGCTCTGTTTCGTGGCGGGCTACTTGCTCGTCTTCTGTTCTTGGCTCGAGTTGTGAGGCTGAGATCTACGCCGGGGCCATGGCTGCACAGGAGCTTCGCTGGCTCACCTACCTGCTGACCGACCTTGGAGAGCCGCCTCGTTCTCCTCCAGTCCTGTACGTAGACAACAAGGCCATGCTGGCCTTGTGTCGAGAGCAGCGACTGGAGCACAGAACAAAGCACATTGCTCTCCGCTACTTCCTTGCTCGTGAGCTACAGCAACGTGGACAGTTGCGGCTTGCGTACGTGGCCTCTGAGGCCAACACTGCTGATGTCTTCACCAAGGCACTTCCGCCTTGTGATCATCAGCGCTTCTGCACTCAGCTGGGTCTTGTGCCCGTCTTGCCTCACTTGCTCTCCTCTTGACCTTGCTTGTACTCTCACATATATATATACCTGCTCTTGCTTGTCTAGCTTTATATATATGTGTGTACTCTTGCATGTGAACTGGCCGTGTGGCCTTGACCCTGTGCTCGGACTGTGTGGTGACTTTGTGATCCACCCTGAGCTTGCTTTGCTTTGCTTTGCTTGACTGGTCTTGTGACCCCTTGTTCTCCCCCACTTTGCCTATGGGGGTGTGTCAGAACATTATAGCTTATGCTGTTGTGTAGGCTATAGTGGGGTATCCCATAGGGGGTGCAACCAATTAGGGTTTCATATTTGTACTCACTTCATTTCATAGTCCACTCATTCTCTCGTTCTCATTGTTACATCCACCACAAGGAAGCACACCTTCTACGTGCAGATCAGCCAATGCGGAAGCGCCAGATGCGTTTCGGCGCTGCTCATTGTTGTCCCATCCCAGCGTGGCGTGTGGCATTCTAGAATCTAAATGTTCACCCAACAACAAAGGTTGTAAAGATGCCCAGCCCATCCATCCACACATCACATACACCTGGAAAGCGTTTTCTTTTCTCCACCTCGATTTTGTCACCACCCTGACTTGTATCTGTTCAGCGTAAGCAGTTCTCCCACAATTTACAGGCGTGACCATACGTCTCATAACCCGATTGTGGTACGTGACTCTATCCCTGGACGAAACAAATCCAGAGCTGGAAACCATCATCCCACCCTTCGTTGATTCTACTCGTTTCTTTCTGTTAGAGGGCCCTACGACAGCAAGGGCCCTCGATGACCTTTGACTTGGCAGGTCGGCGCCTAACGACTGAGTCTACTCGGCACCGACGCACGAGTTCGGTGGCGGTCATTAGTGACTACGGGTGACTGTGAGCTACTGCAGCGAACTCGGCGGAATCGGTGCTAGGAATGACGAGTCTTGGGGGTCGTAGGTGCCTTGCTTGTGAGGCACGCTGCTCACTTGCTGTGTTGGCAGGAGTAGCGTGCACGGTGAGACATTCCGGTGCCGAGTTGGGTTGGAAATGTGCGGGGCGCGTTCACCCACCTGCACAGCACTTTCGTGTGGGTTGGGTTACTCGCAGCGCCACGCAACAATTGTGCAACTCTTGCTTGCCTATATATGTTTGTGTTTGCTTGTGTGTTTGATAATTGATATTGCAATTCTACTTGGCCCAAATGCTACTTCAATTCTCACAAAGTCCTTAGAGGCAAACGCTACCAAAACTCTACCAAGTTGCTGGCGCAACATCATTCCCATAGCAGAGACTCTCTCGCTATCGCTACGCTCTCTAATATATTCCTTCACTTTCCCTCTTAGCTCACCGTCTGAGCTTGTGGTTAGGACACGAGAACCGAGGAAGCAGGTGGTTAACAAAACTGGCAAAAGTATCAGGTGTAATATTTTAGGGGGTTGGGCGTCTTTCTCTTGAATTTCAACAGCCCAACCCACACACCCCCCCCCCCCCAGCTCAACCACACAATCCCCACATCAATAAAATGCCTCGACAACATTCGTGTCCTCGCGCTCTCTTATCCACCCTTCCTGCTGCTGCTTCTGCTGTTTCTCGCGCTGCTGTGTTCCGCGCGCAGCGAGCCAGGCAGCGCGCATGGCGCTGGCGGACGACCCCCCGGAGGTGTGGGTGGTGGACGTGGGGCGCGACCGCGAGGCCACCAAGGACGCGCTCGTCACGGCCGTCAATGACGCCACGGCCGTCATTTATCGCGTGCTGCTGCGGCTCGTCACCACCGGCGCCTCGCGTATGTAGTAGCATGCGGCTTTCGCATTACTCCGGGCAATGTGGAAGCGCCGCGCGAAACGTCTCGCAGAACTCCCGAGAAATGGTCGCTTGTCAGCGCGGAACGTTCTAGAAGTAGTTAGAAGCTATCCTACGTCTCCAGGCTCGTTGTCGAGAGAGATGTACGTAAAGCGAGCCGTTCCTGTCTCAATACCCCACGGGGCCTCCGTGCCTTCTTACGGCATAGGCAGCGTCGTTTGCGCCGTCAATAGCGGATGTGTTATTGAGTCCACAGCTAGGCGTCCTTCCCTTGACACTCGCGTTGGCTACCCGTGCTCGCAGCTTGTATAGTAATCCCATTCGCGACGGCAATGGCTGCTTTCCTCGTCTTCTCTGGTAGGCGTTATGCCTGCGAGTCGCCGCTGATCACAGCATGATAGAGAGAGCCGCCGGCCGTGATCTGCCGCTTACTTGCGAGACACGTGGCACGTGGCACGTGGCACAGCGTAGAGCGAGTGTCCGTGAATCCATGAAGCGCGAAACAGTGAGGCTGCTAACGGATGGTGGGTGGAGACCGGGAGGACGCGAGGAGAGGGCAGAGCGTAGAGGGCAGAAATGCAGGAGGGAGGGCGGCGCAAGCAGTGATGCTTGACGACGACAGCAGTACTTCATTGCTGCGGTGTGTCCGATGGCTTTTGAGTCGACTCAACGGCCAGATCATGGTCGTTAAAGGACAGCGTCACATGTCATACCCCCCTCTTCGTTTCCCCTCAGCAACCAGACCGGCGCTCCTTTCGCCCTGTGCGATGCACCCTCCAGAGCCCGGCATATCTGACGCGCCGCACAACGCTCCCCTGCGGCGGAGCTGGTATTCGTATTCACGTCTGAGCCCAGTACCACCATCCAATCTCCCCCACTATAACGCCAGTTCCTTGTCTTCCCCGTCTCCCTCCCCGTCTCCCTTCCCCTCCCTCTCCCTGCACACTTTTCTGCCGGTGCAGCGGTTGGCGCAGGGCATGCAGCGGGAGGCGGAGCAGGGGGAGCGGGCGGCGCGGGAGGGGGCGAGGGTGAGAAGGGCGCAGTGGGCGAGGAAGAGCGGGACTCACCGCATGCGATGCTGCTGCCGTACAAAGAGTTCGCGGAGAAGATGGACGTACGTGCTTGCATCCCATCACCCACCCCCTCTTCCCTCCCCCTTCTCCCGCCACCGTTCCCTGTTTTCTCTCTTGTTCTCTCTGACGCGCACGCACGCGCACGCGCACACGCACAGCCACTTGTAGTTGTTTCTCGTCTTTGCTGGTCCCTTTTCCACTGCTCTGACGCCGTCTTTTACCTCCTGTGCTGTGCACATCCCTCATCGACCTTCCGCCCCCCTCCACATTCCCAATGGCGCATATCACGTGCTCCGCCCTTTTCATCCCCCTGCTCCACCATGTGGCAGCAGACATGCTCATTTTCAGTAGATCCCTCACCCCCTTACGCACATCGCCCCTTCCTCGTCTCCTCCACCCTCCATATTGCCCCCTCCTCATTCTCGCACCCCTGTTTTGCTCCCTCCTGGTGTTCACCTCCCTCCACCCTCTCCCCTTTCCCCGCCTCCCCCCCCTTCCTCCTCTCCCCGTCCTCCCCCGTCACTCCTCTCCCCGTCCCCCTCCCCCTCTCCGCTCCGCGCCCCCCTCTTTGCCCCGCACCCCTCTCTCCACTCCTCAGGTGGCGGCGGACACGTTCGTGGCCCCCACGGACAAGCGCGAGAGGGCGCTGTGCCACGCCGTGCTCGCAGGGGAGGCCTCGCGCCTCTACATCGGCCAGCGCAAGTCAGTGCTGTGGGGGGGAAGAGGGGAGAGGGGAGGGGAGTGGGAGGGGGGGCGGTAATTTGAGTCGACTGCAATTGCGCGAGAGGGCGTGTTGCCATGCCGTGCTGGCAGGGGAGGCCTCGCGCTTCTAAATTGGCCAGCGCAAGTCAGTGCTGTGGGGGGGATGAGGGGGGAGAAGGGGGGAGAAGAGGGACAATGCGGGGGAAAAGGCACAGTGATGCACAGGGGAAAGGGCGAGGAATTTTGAGAGCATGCAATGAGTGCCTTGTCGTGGGTTGGGAGGGATGGGAATGTGTGGAGTGACAATGCTCTCTAAGGTTCTCCGTGGTGCGTCCCCTGTTGCGGTACAAAAAGGAGGAGGATTAGGATTGATCGCTCACAGAATTGGACTTCTTAAGGAGTTATGCACGGGTTCAGGGCGGGCGATGTAACCCGAGTCGAAATTCACTTGACTTGGGTCAAGCAATAAAGAACTCGGGCCGAGCTTTTATTCACTCTAATTTATGGTCGACTTTTGAGTCGGGCGCGAATAAAAGAAACTCGAGGGAAGAGGTGCGGGAGGATGAGATAGTTATTGGATGAGTATGAGTCGCCATGAACCTAAGAGTGGTAGAAGTTGAGAAAGTAGAGTAGAAATTCGAGGGGTGGTGATCTTGAAAGGTCACGTATGCATCCAGATACCCGAAGTGAATTTTTGTATCCAATCGAAAGTTACGCTCCTCTCGCCCCCCCCCTCGCCCTCCTCTCCTCTCCTCCCCTGCCCTCCCCTCACCCCCGTGCAGGAAGCTGTTCAGCAAGAGTTCAAACCTACCAGCATACTGTGCGAAGCACCTGCCATACACGTGCGACATCATAGTGGTGCAGGCCGGCCGCAAGGTCAAGCACTTGCAGGGCGTGCTCTCACCCGACGCCCTCGCCCCACCCGCCCCTAGAGGCTCTGCTGCTCCCGTTCCTGCGCCTGCTTCCGCTTCCGCTTCTGCCTCCCCCTCTGCGTCCCCTGCTACTGCCAAGGCAGGAGGCGTGAGCGCGCTTCTAAGCCGCTCTGCATCGTCCCGCTCTCCCTCCTGCAGCCCACCTCTCTCCCCGTCCGCTTCTGGCCCCTCCCCCACACAGCCGCGCATGCAGAGAGGGAGGAGCCTGGGCCGTGGCACGCTAGGGGCAGGGCCTAGACTCGCAGAGGGGGAGGTGGGGGGGCTGGCGCAGGTGGAAGAAGGGCATGAGGGGCGAGGGGCAGCAGGGGGGCGGGACGGGCGGGAAGGTATGGCACAGCTGTTGAACGAGAGTAATGTTCCTCACGGCAAGCAGGCAGCGCGTCTGGATACCGCTGCTGCCTCTCCTGCTGCTGCTGCCGCTGCTGCTGCGGCAGCAGGCATGGTGGTAGGTCCGTCAGCGGATTCCGGGGCAGCAGCGGCAGCAGCGGCAGCAGCGGCAGCAGGGGCAGCAGGGGCAGCAGGGGCAGCAGGGGCGTCAGGGGCAGCAGGGGCAGCAGGGGCGTCAGGGGCAGGCGGCACAAGAGGGGTTCCGCCCCAGGCGTTGGACCTGAGGCACCTCGTGCTGGCGCGCAAAGAACTGGCCGCCCTGGCGTTCGCTCAGGCCGCCGCCACCACAGGGGGGGACGCTGGGGACGCAGGGGGCGGGGGAGGGCGACGGGGAGGAGGAGGAGGAGGGGGAGGAGGAGGAGGAGGAGGAGGAGGAGGAGGAGGAGGAGGAGGAGGAGGAGGAGGAGGAGGAGGAGGAGGAGGAGGAGGAGGAGGAGGAGGAGGAGGAGGAGGAGGAGGGTCCAGCATTGGATGGGAGAGCCCGGGGCCTAGTGGGGGGCAGCAGCAGGGCTTCTCTTCTGCCACAAGCTCGGCAGTGAATTCCCCACGGCTCAAGCGTGCTCTTTCTGCTAGTTACTCCTCTGCCGCGTCCTCTGGTCTCACCCCAGGCCTCACCCCCGGCACAGGGTCTCCCGCCATGGGCTCTCCTGGCATAGCCATGGGCGTCTTTGGGTTTGCGTCTCCGTCTCCTGGCAGCAGCCTTCTGAATAGCCCTTCTGTGCCCTCGCCGCTTGCGCGGGCTGCTGCTGCTGGTGGCTTTGCTGGTGTGCCTCCTGCCGGGTTCCACTGGGGCTTGCAGGTAGCACTGCAACAGCAGCAGCAGCAGCAGTTGCATCGGCTGAGCAATGTGGGTGCTGCTGCTGCTGTTGCTGCTGCTGCTGCGGCTGGTGGAGATGCAGCAGCAATGGAAGGAGTGGATGAGGAGTGGAGCAGCGGGAGGAGCAGCGGCAGGAGCAGTGTGGGAGCAGGGATGGGTAGGGAGGAGTTGAGGTCGGTGGCTGGTGGTGACACAGGCGGTATGCTTGGAGGGGAGGTGGCTCCATTTGAGGTGCAGGGTGTGGGCGAGGGGCAAGGGGAGAAGGGGGGTAGTGCGGTTGACAGGTCTGCACAGCAGACGTACCAGCAGCGGTTGATTCTGCTGCAGCAGCTTCTGGAGCAGCAGGAGCGGCAGAATCAGCAGCTTCACGAGCGATGGCAGCAGCAGCAGCAGCATCACCACCAGCAACAGCTGCTACACCACCACCAGACGCAGCAGCAGCAACAACAGCAGGAGCAACAGCAGCAACAACAACAGCAGCAGGAGCAACAGCAGCAACAGCAGCAACAGCAGCAGCAGCAGCAACAACAGCAACAGCAGCGGCAGCAGAATGTGTATCAGATGGCTCCGAGTGGCTCTGTGCCGCCACGCTGCAGCAGTGCACCCCCGCCTGCCCTACAGCCACCTGCAGAACCACCCCTTGCTTCTGGAACAGTAGTAGCAGCAGCAGCAGCACCAGAAGCTGTTCCAAGCATTGCAAGTGGATCTCCCCTTCCTCCCACACCACCAGGCCACACAGCCGCGCACCTCCCCCCACACTCTCTCCCCCCGTCCCTCCCACCGCCACCACACCAGCCCCCATATCCGATCCCCTTCTCCCCATCCTTTCCATTCTCCATGCAGCACTCGCTCTCTCTCCCAGCGTCCGTCCCCACGTCCCTGCCATCCATGGGCGTGCCAGGAGGCGCGAGGGAGCGAGCAGAGGTGCAGGTACTACTGGTGGAGCTGGCACGCATGCAGCAGCAGGCGCGGTCCGCACAGGAGGCAGCAGAGAGAGCGGATCGCGAGGCAAGGGAGGCGAGGGAGGAGGCTCGGAGGGCTGCGGAGAGTGCGGCTGCGGAGGCGGAGAGGAGAATGAAAGCTGAGATGGAACGAGAGGTGGCGAAGAGGAAGGTGGGTTGAAGAAGGGAGGGAAGGTGGGGGGGTCAGGGGGAGAGGGATTGGGTGGGAGTGTGGAAGCTGGGAAGGGGCGGTGTTTGTGTGTGAGGGGGGTGTGAGTGCGCTCTGATCAAACATACCCATCCCCACCCCCACCCCCCATCCCTCTCTCCCTACCAAACACCCTTCTCTTCCACCCACCCATACCTCCACACACCACTAGCACACACCCCACAAACCTCCACATGCATTTTTTAGCCAGCTAGATCCCCTGTTCACGAATTCCTTGTTCAATCTTCCCCGCAAGTTTCACATATTAGTGCTGATTCTGCAACCAAAGACCTGCTGGTTGCAGCAGCAGCAGCAACCTCTCAACACAGGCCAAAACTCTCCTTCTCACCTTTCTGTTGAGCTTCCAAGGGAGGTCCAGGCTGATGTGGAAACTCGCCCAGGAGCAGCACAACAACAGCCATCGCACGCACAGCACCCACTCACTCTTCTCCCCTCCCCACCATCAACCGCCCCTCGCTTTTCAGGCAGACGACCGAGGAGTCATGGCTCAGAAGCAGAAACAGTCTCACACCACACCATACCGCACCATACCACACCACACCACTAAATATTCTTCTCCTACGCTTCTCCCCCATCTCCTCCACCGTCTGCCTCCTCTTCCCACCCCCTTCCCTGCCCGCCAGGCGGATGAGGAGTCGAAGCGAGCCGCAGCAGCAGAAGCAGAGGCAGAGCGCGTGCGGCACGAGGCAACCGAGCTGGCAGCAGCAGCCTCCGCCACTCTCGCCAAAGCACAGGAGCAGTACGCACTCAGCCGACAAGTGCAGCAGCAGCAGCAGCTACAACAGCAGCAGCAGCTACAGCAGGAGTTCAGAGAGTACAGCATTGAGGAGCTGGCGCGTGCGTGCGACATGTGGGACGAGGAGAACCTGGTGGGCGAGGGCGGGTACGGCACGGTGTATCGCGGCATGCTGGAGCACTGCCCTGTGGCCGTCAAGTGCCTCAAGACCGCCAACAGCAACCAGGCTCTGAAAGAGTTCAAGAAGGAGGTGCGTGCAAGGAGGGGGGATGGGACAGAGAGGTATGGGGGATGGTGCGTGGAGCGAGGGGGGATGGGAAGGAGGAAGGGAGTGAGGGAAAGAAGGAGGAGGAAGGGAGGGAGAGAGTGGTGAAGACGTATGGAGGAGGAGGAAGGGGTGTAATTGCGAAAGGGTGGGAGAGGAGGGAATGGGATAGGAGGGGAGGAGCGGAGGGCTGGAGAGGGGAGGGAAAGGGAGACGAGGAGAGAGGATGGGGTGTGATGCTAAACTGGATTGGGTTAGCAGTTGCTGGTTCTGTAACATTACTGCTGGGCTGCATTAAGCCTCAAAAGCATCTGCCTTGAGTTGTGCCATGCCCCTTCCCTCATGTCCCTCCCCCTCACGCCCCTCCCTCACACGCCCCCCCCTTCATGCCCTTCTCACAGCTCCTCCAATCCACTCTCCCACCTTATGTGCCCGCCCTGCTTCCATTTCCCCTTTGCCTCACAATATTGTTCCTGTTTTCCCTACCATTCCTCTCTGGTTTCTCTCGCCTGCCTCTTCCTCTCCCTCCATTCCGTACTCTCTACCCCCCCCAACCCCACACCCTCCACCCTCCACCCCCGACACTATCCCCCACCCTTGGCACCCCGAAACCCCCTCGCCCCCCGCCACCAGATGGACGTGCAGAGGGGGCTGCGGCATCCGACGGTGGTGCTGCTGATAGGGTGCTGCCACGACCCGCCGTGCCTGGTGTACGAGCTCATGCCGTGCGGGTCGCTGTACGACCGCCTCGTGTGCGACCAGGGCTCGCCCCCCCTGCCCTGGAACCACCGCTTCAACATCTTTGAAGACACCTGCAAGGCTCTCATTCACCTGCACAACCGGTGAGAGTTGGGGGAAGTGGGGGGAGAGCCGGGAGAGAGTGGGGAGAGAGAGTGGGAGAGAGAGTCGGGAGAGAGTGGTGGGGAAGGGGGAAACGGGTGGGGGAAGAGTGAAGGGGAGAGTGGGTGGAGGATGAAAGGGGGTGACTGTGGAAGGGGTGCGATGGTCGTGGGCAGAGGGAAGCCAGGACGGGCATGTGAGAGGGAACTGCGTGAACCATCCCCCCTGCTCATCCCCCCCATCAATTCCCCACACGTTCCCCTCCACTTCTCCCTCCTCCCACCCTCCCCCTCTTCCCCTTCCTTCCCTCCCTTACAGCCACCCCGCCATCGTGCATCTGGACCTGAAGCCAGCAAACATCCTCTTAGACGGCAACATGCGGGCAAAGCTCGGCGACGTAGGTCTAGCGCGCTTCATGGTGGGCATGGACAGCGGCAAGAGCTTCATACAGCAGTCCGTGGCCGTGGGCACGTTCGGCTACGTGGACCCGCACTTCCTGCGCACGGGCCAGTTCAGCCGCGAGTCCGACATCTACTCCCTCGGCATGGTTCTCCTCGACATGCTCCGCGGGATCGACACCTCTAAGAAGCCTGCTGGAGGAGGAGGAGGGGGAGCAGGGGGAGCGGCGCGGCGGCACGTGGGGGACCGGGTGGCGGCGTTGGAGGGGCTGGAAGCATGTGTGGCGGCGGGGGATGTGGAGCGGTTGCAGGGGTTGCTGGATCCGACGGCTGGCACGTGGCCGCCGGGGATTGCGATGCGGCTGGTGGAGATCGCGCGGCGGTGCGCGGCGTTCAAGCGCAAGGAGCGCCCGGAGCTGTCGCGAGACGTGATGGCCATGCTGGCGGAGATGAAACCCGCTGTCATGCGCGCCGCCAAGCAGCAGCGCGACCTGGGTCTGCTCAAGGATGACTCCTGGGGTGGCGGCAGCGGTGGTGGTGGTGGGGGTGGTGGGATGGGGGTGCATGGGCGAGGCGGGGGCGGTGCGGTGGGGAGTGCGACGACGCGGTCGGGCGTGCAGGTGCCTGATGGGTTCCGATGCCCCATTACCATGGTGAGACGGGAGGGGGGATGGGATGGCATGATGATGGTGGTGATGATGCTTGTGCAAGGGGGACCTAATGCCGCTGTAACTTCCCTCACCTATCATGCCCCGCGAGTGCACATCAATGTACTGCACCTCCCTTCCTTCACATGCACGCACGCACGCACACACACACACACACACACACACACACACACGCACGCACGCATGCACACACACACACACACACACACACACACACATGCACGCACAAATGCACGCACGCACACACCATTCCTCGTCTACCATCCTCAACCATCCCTCCTTCCTCCCACCTCCTCCCTTCCTCCTCTACTTCCCACCCTGTCTTTGTCACACCCCTTCCCACCCTGCCACCAACAGGAGCTGATGCAGTGGCCAGTAATAGCAGGGGATGGGCACACGTACGAGCGAGCGGCCATGCAGCAGTGGCTGCAGCAGCACTCTGTGTCCCCGCGCACGGGGCGGGCCTTACCGCACACGCACCTGCAGGACAACCTGCTCGTGCGCTCCCTCATTGCCGACTGGGTCGCCTGCCATGGCGGCCTGCTGCTCCGGTGCGTGGGAGAGGGAAAGGAGGGGGTAAAGCTGTGGAGTGAGGAATAACAGAGGAGAGGAGAGGCGAGAGGGTGGGAAGGGAAGCAAGTGGTAATGCTGGGGGCAGGTGGGGCAAGGACGTATGTCTCGGCTGATCGGGAGGGCGGGCGACTTTTGAGCTGCGCTTTGCTGTAATTTTCTCCTGCTCGCGTCACCTCCCACATCACATCCCCCCTCACCTCGCAGTCTCCTCCCCTCACACCCCTCCCTATGCACCCCTCCCTCAGGTCGGAGGTGCTTGAGGAGGGCTGCTCAGAAGGTCCCTCGGAGGAAGGTGGTGAGGCAGAGGCATACGCAGAGGGCGAGGGGGACGAGGAAGGGGCGCAGGACTGGGCGTCATACGTGGAGGAGCTGGGGGAGAGTCTCCTGCCTCTGGGTATTCACAGTGAAGTGTGTGTCCCGGGCGATGGCGGCAGTGTGCCAGGAACGGACGGTGAGGATGGGCTCCCTGCGGTCGGTGCGCCTGCGGGGCACAAGGTGAAGGATGCAGCTTCAGTGTGATGTGATCCAGGCGACGGGGTGGAGTTTGTGGAACTTGAGAGGCTAATGAAGAGAATATATGTTCTTTTATTTGTGCTTGTAGAAAGTATGATACGGATGGCAATTTTTTGGCAAAGATCAAACGGCAACTACAGATCTGGAAAAATATGGATAATTCGTTGTATGTATCATAATTTTTTCTTCGGGATTTATAATTCACATCGCAGTATTTGTTCTACGGTACCTGGATTCACAGGTAAGCCCCTGTATTTGAGTGAAAAAATTGTAAGTGATCCTTGTAGCCATGCGAGAGCAAGCTTTTAATACCTGTCGCGAGTCCGTTTATCAAGGGAACTTTGTGACACCCCTCGACCACAGTCGAGGCGCGCCAATCACAATTACTACAATCACAGAAACCCGCGACTCTCGCTTGGGTGCGCGCAAAACGGCAACACACCCGCCATGTCGGCGGCACCAGGGCACGCGCACACGCGTGTGACGACGGGCGAGGAGGGCGAGGAGCTAGACCCCATGGTGGAGCAGTTACAGGACTGCAGCCGCCTCTACGTCCGCCTCGAGGTGCCATCTCCCCTCCCCTCTCCTTCTCTCCTCTCCTCTCGTCTCCTCCCCTCCTCTCTCCTCTCCTCTCCTCACCTCTTCTCCCGTGCTTCCCGCCAAACCGCGAGTCGCTATGCTCTTCCTCGTGGCCGTCATTATGCTCTTCTCCTCGCCTCCACGTCTCTCGGCGTTCGAAGCGACTGGGAGCGGCGGCCAGAGCGGTCCGACTGGGAAGCGCGAGGAGGGGGGTTTCTTCGCGGTATAGAGTGGATCCGTTCCGCGTGGTTCCGTTAGGCGCAAGGCGCGAGCGGAGTAACGAGGGGGTGATGGAAGGAACGAGCACCCACCACCGCAGACACACACTGATGATCATAATATCTTGCCTTCCACGTTCTGTACAATCCCTCTTCGCGATCTGCACTCTCTCACGCTGCTTCGCGTCTCGCGTCTCGCGCCTCCTATCCCCATCCATGTTTCCCTCCCAGCGCGCGTGCAGGCGAAGGGCCAGCTCTGGCTTGTGATGTGATTCCTAAACCTCGCCCGCTCAAGCAAATGCGTGCCGTATGCCATGTGCCTTGTGCGCTTTGCTGCTGTGTTTCTGTGCTGCCGTGTGCGGTGTGTTGCTGTGCTGGCAAGTGCTGTGCAGAACTGCCTTGTGGAGCACGACAGGGACTGGAGGAAATGCCAGGAAGGTGAGGCTTTGGAAAAGAACGTCTGCCTGCACCCTCTTTTTTGTTCCTCTGCAACCGTCCCCCACTCATCATTCCGTCTCGTCCCAGAAATCTCACGTGTTTCCCTGTGTATCTCTCACCCGCTTCCGTGTCTCCTCCATCCAACCATGCTCATGTGGAGCCCGTGTTTTCCTGCTCTCTTCCCGTCTGCTCCCAGAGGTTCGTTCCCTGAAGGTCTGCATGTCACGCCAACAAGCGCACCAGCAGCAGCAACAACAACAAAGTGCAGATCAGAAACAGTAGTCGCATGAGCTGCTTGTGCAACTATTGTGTTCTGTGGATCAAGCTTCTCAGCTAGAACCAGCCTCGCTCGCATACCCTAAGCCTTTTGCTTTAGTTGATGCTGATGCTGACCCTTTAGGTTAATTGGAGTTTCTATTTCTTCATTCTGCTGATGCTCCATGCTCCTACAGTACACGTGTGGTTCTGGCTGTGCAATGGAACCAGCTAGAGCTGCTCAGCAGCATGTATATAAATCGTTCTTTTCTACAAATTGATCGGATTCATGTCGCACAGCTTTAGCGAGTAACGCGTATTTCGAAATTCCTTCCCGCGACGTCTTGCGGAATTCCAAGCTGCCGTGCAAACAACCATCCAACACCGCACTCTCGCCTCTGCGCCTTCACATCTCGCCATCCAGCGAATTTCACACTACTGCGACCGCATTGAGTTGACAACTGCATCGTCACTGGATCGCAGGTTCACGGAGCAACGCGAGTCGATCCTGTCAGGCAAAGGGGAATCGATAGTGCGAGTTCGAGGATCGGAGCTCCCGGAGATTTGAGTTGTTTAAAACAAAGGGGATCTGATCCGCGCCGCGCCGATCTAGATTCGCCCAAAGCAATCCTGCTGTTCGTCCTCTCTCTTTCAAATCAGCCGCTCGATCCGTAACCCAGTCCAATTCCCGAACGCCATAATGAGCAATAGTAACTCCGGCGCCGGCGCTGGCGGCGCGGCGAGCGTGGCGGAGGAGGTTGCGGGGCTGGACCGGCTGCTAACGCGGCTGGCGCTGACGGAAGACGCGAAGCTCGAGAAGGTTCTCTCGAAGCTTCTCCCGCTCGCCATCTCCCGCCTCGCGTCGCCGCACGAGGCGTCGCGGAAGAAGGTGAGAGGCCGGCCGAGGGTCGGGATGTGAGAGGCAACCTGCGTGCGGGGAAAAAGAGGAGGGGTGAGTGGGTGGGAGGCGGGGAGGGGCGGGAGAATTTATATATTCTGACTGGTTTTCGCGACGCGGATGTGGTCAAGGGAGGAGATGCACTTAATTCACGGCGATTGGGTAACTGAGTGGAAGTTGCAGACTCCAGTTGACAAAGCCAGTGAGCGGGGAGTTGCGGGCTGTGTCGCTGTGCGTGCATGGGGTTGTAGGGAAGCCGATTGAACGTGTAGCGTTAAACGGGAAAAGAGAGTCGAGAGCATGTGTCATCCCTCTCCTCTGCGTTTAGTGTCCGTCCTACTCCTTGCGTGCCTTTATTTGTGATGTAGCATCTCAGATCCACCCGCGTAACTTCTCATCTTTCTCGCTCCTCTTCCTCCTTTTCCTCTTATTTTCCTCTTCCTCGCCCTCTTCCGCCCCCACCTTCCTTTCCCCTGTAACCTCCTTCGGCCCCCCATTTCGGTCCCTCGCCTCCGTGTGCCGCTACCCTCCCTGTTTGCACCCAACCCACCACAACCCAACCCTCCTCGCCCCACGTCTACCGACCACTGCACACGGGCTCTCTGCTCTCTGCACCCCTGGGGCACCGCATCAGGTGATGGAGATGCTGGCGCACATCAACAAGCGCGTGCGGGGGGCGTCCGCCATCCACCTGCCGCTCTCCGACCTCCTCGCGCTCTACTGCTCCGCCACAGCCACCACACCCGCCCCTTCCCCCTCCTCCACCTCCACCACCACTACCTCCGCACCCCTGCTCCCTGCCCCACACCCCCTCACGGCGAGCTTCGCGCTGGTATACACAGACATGGCGTTTCAGCGCGCCACACCAGAGGAGCAGGCAGCAGCGGTGCCGGTGCTGCTACGGGGCATAGCTTCGCGCGCAGCAGCGCACCAGGACATGCTGCTGCGGTGCGCGCTGCAGGGCCTGCTGCGCTATGGGTCGCCAAGAGGGGTGGGGTCGGGGCCTGAGGAACAGCAGCTCGCTGCTACCTACTCCTGGCTCACCTCTTCGCCTGCTGCTGCTGCTGCTGCTGGCACTGCTGATGCGGGTGCGAGTGCTGCTGGTGCTGGTGCAGCTGAATCGACTAAGGTGGCAGCGGCAGGGGGTGTGTCAGAGGGAGGAGAGGCGGCTGGGGGCAAGGCAGAAGCAGCGGCCGCAGCAGGCACAGGCGGGGGGGCAGCGGGGAAGGCTGCTGCTGCCGCTGCTGCTGCGAGTGCTGCCCCTAGTCCGGACATGGCTGTGTGGCTGGAGTTTTGCCTGCAGGTGATGCTGCTGCCGGCCTCTCTCTCCGCTGCTGCTGCTGCTGCGGCGAATGCAGGGTCGGCACAGGGGCAGGGAGGAGTAGCAGCAGCAGCGGGTCTGGCGGCAGGGGGGAGAGGAGCGGCAGTGGGGGCAGGAGGTGCGGGGGCAGAGCTGAATGCGGCAGGGCAGCAGGGCGGACCCGCGCAGTGAGTGTGTGGGGATGTGGGGTTGTGCGGGAGTGAGGAGTTATGTGGGAGTGAGGGGGTGGTTAAGGGTTTTTTGGGGTGAAAGGGTGTGTGGGTGAGAGGGTGTGGGGGATTGTGTGGGTGAGGGCGTGTGTGGTTGTGAAGGGAGGTTTGGGTTGAGGGGCTGTGAGCGTTTGAGGGGGTGCTCTATTCTCCCACCCACCGCCCCATCACACCCTCCCCTTCCATCTCCTCAACTCCCTTATCTCCCCCATCTCCCCCATCTCCCCTATCTCCCCACCTCCTCGTTCCCCTTCGCTCCGCGTCCCTCTGCCACACTCCGCACAGGCCTCCTCTCTCGGACCACCCCGGGCTGTCCCTCGCGCAGCTGCACCGAGTGCTTGGCCCCGCGCCTTCCTCCTCAGCCGCCTCCCCTGCAACCGCGGCTTCCCCTGCTGCGCTCAACCTCATTCCGCCTGACGCTGTGGCTCAGAGGAAGGTGCGTGGAGGGGGGCTCCTTTCCTGGGGTTCCGTGGCCATTCCATTCTTGATCCTCGCGTCCTTCCAAGTGCTTTTTCTATTCGATTCAGCAGCAGGAGAAGAGCGTGGTTTGCATACTACTAAACTAAACCATTTCTGTTTGTGTGTGAGAGCAGTAGTAGAGGGAGAGCTAGTGAGTGGACTCAGTTGTGAGCGGTGGATGCAGGGAACGTGGCGGGTGCGGTGTGGTTCACTGGAGTCACTCTTTCCTGCAGCAGGGAGGAGTTAAAACTCAAACCTCCTTGTCTCCTTGGTTTTTCCTCCTCTCCACTCACACTCCCTCTCGCATCACCCCCCTCTTCCTCCTCTCCTCTCTCCCCCCGTCTACCTGTGTCCCGCTCTCCCATCCATTCGCCCTCTCGCCCCGTCGGTGTCCGCACCACAGGTGGCGGTGCTGAACTTCCTGGCAGCCGTCAAGGCGCCCGCCCATGCGTGCTACCTGCTCTGGCTCGTTGCCGCCACTGACAGGTGCGTGCCCGCGTGGGGTGGGTGGGGTTCGTGGGATGGGGGAGATGGGGGGCGTTGGGGGGGAATGGGTGTGGGTGGGGGGGTTTGGGGGAGAAGGTTGGGGTGTGTGGGTACGAGGATGTGTTGGGAGAGGGGGTGTTTGTATGTCAGACGCTGATTTAACACAAGCACACAGGTCGACATGATTCGTTTCTTGTTCTTCATTCTTTCCTTGCCTCTTTCTCTCTCTCATTCCAACAAGGTGGTCTCCCTCACTCGCTCCATTCCCCCCGACACGAGCAGGCGTGGTAAGGAGCCAAGAACTCACCCTTCTTCCCTCCATCCTTTCCCTCTCACTCGTTCCCCCCTCCCCCCATTCCCCCGGCCATCCGTGTCCCTGTCTGCTGTGGGCAGCAACGAGCGGGTGAACCGGCGCGGGGAGGAGCTGATGAAGCGCCACGGGGGGGCAGTGGACTTGGAAAGCGACAGGCTTGTAGCCGCCATGATGCGCCTTTACCAAGGTGATGCTCAGCTCGCTCTCTGCCCCACCCACCCACCCACCCACCCACCCGCTACAAGATGAACCCCTGCCACGCCGTATCCCAGTCGCTTGTGATCATCGTGAAGACGGGCCGGCGCAATCATGCGACAGTAACAACCACTGATTTTCAGCGGCCCCTGCCGGCCCCAGTGGTTACCTTAAATTTTTCAAGTACCAACATGCTCGTCTGCTTCTGACCGTCCTCATCCACCTCTTCATGCTTCCTCCCCTCCTGTCCCCCCCATCTCTCTTTCACGGGCCCTGCTTCCTCTGTCCGTTTCTCCAGCTGGTATCCTCTCCTGCTGCCTCCTCCCTGCCCTCTCTCCATCGCGCTCTCATCCTGGCTCTACTCTCCTCCTATGTTTCACTTCTCATCCTTCGCAACCAATCCTTTGCCTGCCATCCCTATCCTCCCATCCGTCCCCCACCATGTCCTTCCATGCTGCGTGCTGCTTCCCATCTCTCCCCTACAAGCCTCTCAATCCCTTTCTACCCCTCCCCACCTCCTCTCACATCACCACCAGGCACCCCCGCATCTGACCCCAAGCAGCCGCAGACAGCAGCAGCAGTGCCAGCAGCGTCAGCAGCGGTGAAGCTGCGGCTGCTGGGCGCGTTTGTGCGCTCCATTGCTGCCGCCAACGCATTCCCAGGCACCCTGCACGTCATTTTCGATGCTATCTATGGTACTGTGTGGGGGGGTGGGTTCTGGGGAGGAGGGAAGAAAAAGGGGGAGGAAGAGGGGGGGATAGTGGTGGGGGCGGGGGGGTGGTTGAACTGTGTGTAACCCATGACCCATGACACACGACCTGTGACCCATGACACACGACCTGTGACCCGTGACACACGACCTGTGACCCGTGACACACGACCTGTGACCCGTGACACACGACCCATGACCCGTGACTCGTTGGGAGCGTGCTCGTGTGGCACTGAGCTGTGGCTGGTACTTCCACGGCCGGGTGTGAGCAGTGGCAGGGGCCATTGCTGTCAGGTTGGGGCGGCGGTGACTGCAGCATGCTCGTTCCCTGCCGTCCGTATTGCATTGCACTGCGTTGCGTCCTGCTGTGCTACCTGCTTGTTCGCTTTTTTATTTTATTTCAAAAAGCTATCTTTGCTATGCTTGTCTGCCTGGGACCACCACAGCCTGACCTTGTCACGTGCCCTGTGTGCCTGTGGGCGTGCCTAAATCCGTCCTTGGACGCGTGCCATGGCTGTGTGCACTCCTTATCCTGTGTGTGCATGGGTGGTATGGTGCAGGCGTGGGGGCATCAACGCGCAGCAAGCAGCTGGGCATGGAGTTTGCCGTCTGGGTCTTCAAGCATGTGCGTGCTGCGTGCTGCGTGCTGCTTGCTCCTTGCTCCTTGCTCCTTGCTCCTTGCTGCTTGCTCCTTGCTCCTTGCTCCTTGCTCCTTGCTGCTTGCTCATTGCTCCTTGCTCCTTACTGCTTGCTCCTTGCTGCTTGCTCCTTGCTCGTTGCTGCTTGCTCCTTGCTCGTTGCTCCTTGTCCCTTGCTCGTTGCTGCTTGCTCCTTGCTCGTTGCTCCTTGTCCCTTGCTCGTTGCTGCTTGCTCCTTGCTCGTTGCTCCTTGTCCCTTGCTCCTTGCTGCTGTTTGCGCTATTCATGCTGCATCCATGCAACCTGCTTCGCTTCTATCACCTACCCATTGCATCCGCATGCGTCTCTCACCTTTTCTCTCCCTCCCTCCCCACCCCCTCTGCTCTGCCCCCGTGCCCCCATGCCCCTGTGCCTCTGCCTCCCTGCCACCACCAGGCAAAGGAGGACCGGCTGCGGCCCTTGTCGCCAGTCATCCTCTCCTCGCTGCTCAAGCTGCTCTCGCAGTACGACGCTGCAGAGTCCCTGAGTGAGTAAATGTGCAAGGGGAAAGGAGAAGGGGGAGGGGGAGGGGGTCTGTAATTTTAGGCGCCTCAAAAGAAGATTCAAAATGCTCCCTAAATATGATTTTACTGAGTGTGTGCGGAGGGGAAGGAGGGGATGGGGGAAGGGGGGGAGAAATCTTTGTGATTGAGGCGCCTTAGCGCCAGAATTAAGCTGCCCTTGCTCGCTCTGATGCTGCTGAGGCGCTGCACCTAGGAGAGGCACCTAAGTAAACATACACATACACGCTCTGGACAGCGAGCGTCCAGCGTATATACGCTACGCTAGCGCATGGATCGCTGGGCGCGGCCACGCCAGTTCCACGTAGATCTGCAGCCCACTCCACTTATGTACCCCTGCCCTGCCTTCTGCACGCCCATGTACGGGTTACCATTCCCCACCCCCTTTTCCCCCTTTCCCACTCCTGAACTCCTCGTGCCTTTATGCGTGTCCCCATGCAGACCCCCCATCGCAGCAGCTACAGGCATTCACGTATCGAGCCATCGCTCAACTGGCAGAGCGCTGCCCCTTCCTTGTCAGGTCTGTCTGCCGCCCTCCCGCCTCCTTTCAGAATCACACCCCCTTCCCCCTCTTTCACCCCTCTCCTCTTCCGCCCATCCCCCGTCGCCTTCCTCCCTGCCCTCTCCTCTATCAGCTCTTCTGCTGTCCCCCCTTCCTCCCCTGGGTCTTATTCATATCCACCCTCTCGCCGTTTCGTTGCTCCTTTCATTCCCCTCTGGCCTTAGCTGATCGACATGCATTGGCCAATTCACTAATTTGTTCAATCCTGATTATGGCATGGTATGGCATGGCATGGCATGGCATGGCATGGCATGGCATGGCATGGCATGGCATGGCATGGCATGGCATGGCATGGCATGGCATGGCAGGGGGGATGCGAGCATGTGTGAGCGCATGTTGGTGGCACTGGAGGCATGTGAGTCGCCATCCCTGCGAGTGGTCATGCAGGACGCACTACTCTCCCTCGCGTCCGCTTACAAGGTACGCCTCTCCTTTCCTTCCCCTCCCCATGTGCCTCACACCTCCAGCAGCACTTCCCACAGTCAGTCAGTGTATGGTCCTCTAAGGCACACCTGAAACCGGCAGCACCTGAGACCAGCAGGGCTGTTCGCCAGCTCATATTGTACCGGTTTGTAGGATGGAGTGGCTTCTACGTGCCATGCTATGGCTGCTTGGTGGAAAATTGGAAATGGGAATGTAGCGTGGTCCCTCCCTCCATTGCCTTTGGTGGAAGTGAAGTGACTTAGGATGCGTATTCATAGCTGATTCATTCAAACGTCATTTCCCTCCTATACGCCACACAAAATAGCTGCGATGGTGTGGTGTGTGATGTGATGTGAGCCGTGCTGAGAGCACAGGTAGCACTCACTCCAACCCTTTCCCCCGCCCGCATTCCTCGACATTTTGTCTGTTGTGCTCGTCCCTCTCCTCTCCCCCTCCAACCCGCACCCCCTGACAGGGCTGTTCACCCAAGGTGTTGGAGTCCGTTGAGGGCCTGCTGCTCAAGCACTGCTCCTCTGTCAGTGCCCGCCTGTGCTGGGGTGTGGCATGCTGCGGTGTGGCATGCTGCGGTGTGGCATGGCAACGCCCTTTTTATCTAGGCATTGTACTTTGACACGTCATTTCATGCCTTCACGCTTTTCTGCATTTTACCTATTATTCACAATCAGCCCCTCCTCTTCCCCTCCCGCTGCCTGCCTCTTCCTCATCCCCATCCACTGTCTCTCTCTGTCCACTTCCACAACTGCGCATGAACCCTCCATTCACCATGGGCATGCACATTATTGCTACTAAATCTCCTCATGACACCCCATTTTTCCTCATCTTCACAACTCAACCTTATTACACCCTGCTCCACCCCACTCCACCCCACCCCACCCCTCTCCACGCCTCCAGCCAGTGGAGGCGGTGCGGTACTGCACGCTGCAGTGGACCATGCGCCTGCTCTCGCTCTCCTCTGCGCCCGCCTGCTTCCTCGCGCTGCTAGCTACAGCTGACAACAAAACCGAGATCAAGTCAGTGCCAGCCACAGGCACACCACAGAGAGGACCTTAAACGGTTTTTGTCCAGTTGGGAAAAGCTTTGTGGTTGAAGTTGCAGGGAGTCAGTTTTTTGTTTGCACATGCACTCGTTCACCCCCTGCACACTCCCTGCACTCACGTTCCCGTCACATCTCTCACACTCTCACATCACATGTCTCAGAATCTATTCCCCCATATGAGCAAACACCTCGCCATCCTCTAAACCCATCCAAAAATCCAAATCCCAATTCCCAATCCCACCCCCATCTACCAGGGAGGCAGCCCAACGCTTTCTCTTCCCAGAAGCAGACACACGCACCAAGAAGCCCACCGCCGCCTCCTCCCCCTCTCCCCTCTCCACGCCCTCCCCAGCTTTCGCCTCCTCTTCCTCCTCCTCCTCCGCCTCTCTCTCCCCACCCCCCTCCCTCTCATCCCTACTCGCGTTCATATGCAAGCAGAAGCCCAAGGCAGCTGCACCCGTGCCCCTGGAGGGGGAACAGACGCTGCTGCTGCCCCCTGCTGCGTTTCTCTCCGCCATTCGCTTCCTGCTGCTGTGCTGGCGCGAGGAGCGACGGGGAGGTGGGGCGAAGGGGGAGAGGGAGGGAGGGGCTGGGGAAGAGGGAGGAGGAAAGGGTGAGGTTGGTGGGAGCGGTGGTGGTGAGAAAGGGAAGGAGAAAGTAGAGGAGAAAGCAGAAGCGAGTGCAGAGGCGAAAGCAGAGGGGGGAGCGGAGGGGGAATCAGTGGAGGAGCGGCTGTGTGTGTTTGTGGAGCATGGGTTCGCACGTGATGCCACGTGGGAAGTGCATGCCGAGGCTGGCAGGGCGCTGCTAGAAATCATGGCCGCTCATCCGCAGGTGAGATGGGTTTTTGAGGCTGTGTGTGTTTGTGGAGCATGGGTTCGCACGCGATGCCACATGGGAGGTGCACGCGGAGGCAGGCAGGGCGCTGCTAGAAATAGTAGCTGCTCACCCTCAGGTGAGATGGGAATGGGGGTAGGCGCACCGCGAGGGGCTTTTGACAAGGGCGGAGGGGGATAGGGTGAGGGTTGGGGACGAATGGAGGGGAAGAAGCCAAAAAGAACGTGAAATAGGCAGCGGGGGGCAGAAGACACCACAGCGTTTCCTCCTTTGTACCGCTCACTATCCCCCCTTCACTCTTCACTCCCCTTCCCATGCCCCTCCCCCGCACTTGCCCCCCTCCTCCAGTTGGCTCTGCGCTTCACCGCGCGTCTTCCGTGGCTGCAGCGCTTCCTGTCGCACAACGACCCGTCAGTGCGAGCAGCCTTCGCCAAGCTCATGGGCGTTGTGGCGCGGGGGTTGCCTGCCCCTGACGCCCACGCGCTGCTACTCAAGCTGCAGGGGGGCCTGGCAAATGAGGGCGGGAAGGCGGGGATCAAGTGAGTGCGGGCAGGCGTGTGGTGGTCGGGTGTCGTGTTGTTGTTGCTGTTTGGAGGAGGGATGCGCGCAGGATGATCCGTCCTTCCTCCAAACGATCCTTTGTATCAATGCGGGTAATGGTACCATGGTCTGTCTCCATCTCTCCATGTCTCTCCGCTCTTTCTCTCCCCGCACCTCTCCTTTCCTGCATGGGCACGCCTTGCTGTTGCTCATCCTACCAACTTATCATTCGCTCTTCTCGCCCTGCATCCGCCCTGCTACTGTGTTGTGTGTGTGTGCGTGTTGTGGTGGCAGGGAGGAGGAGGCGCAGGGGCTGATAGCAGCGCTGGGCTACGTCACAGCCACAGCTGCCGACGCTGCAGGGGTGAGTGTCCCCTTTCACACGCCAAACTTCAACACTCGATTCTCGTGTATGTACCTCTCGTGTGTGCTGCTCGGCACGTCGCCCCTTCACACCCTGGCTGTTGGTGTTGGGAGGACGTGCCGCAACAATGGCAATGCATCATCCATCCACTCCCCCGTTCCACCGTGCACATAACCCTTGAGGTGTCACATCACGTTACTAACTCCTTCTGAACGAGTATGCCCCTTACATTCTGCCGTTACACCCTCTCTCTCTCCACTGCTGTTTCCCACACTTGTCACCCATGCCCCTTCCTTCCTCCCGCTCGCCACTCCCTCTTCTCCCCCTTCTTCCCCCTTCACCACTGCAGCGAGCATCATCGGTGGATCTGCTCCTCTCGCGCCTGCTCTCCCCCTCATCAGCGCCCTCCACCCTCGCCCTCACCGCGCAAGCCCTGGGCCTCATAGGCCTCATAGGCCCCCTTCCGCCCCCCTCCTCCTCCACCTCCTCCTCCTCTCTCAAGGATGAAGCAGCACCTGAGGGTACTGCGAGTGGAGCGGTGGGAGAGGAGGGGAGTGGGGGAGATGTGGGAAAGAGTGGTGAGGATGGGGAGAAGGCAGCGAGTGGGGAGGAGGAGGGGCGGAAGAAGAGGAAGAGAGGGGATGTGGTGGAGCAGCTGGCCTCGTTATTGTCACACAGGGATGACAAGGTGGTGCAGAGTGCGGCAGGGGCGCTGGGGATGATGAGCTATGGCGACCCTCAGGGTGTGGCGGATGCTGCTCTCACGGCTCTGCTCACTCTCGGTCGATGCAAGGTCAGATAAAGAGAGGGGAGGAAGAGGGGAGGGGGAAGGTGGTGTTGTGTGAGCAAGTACAAGAATTTGTAAGAAAGGGAGAGTGGCTTGCTAGGTCAATTCCTCTCCTTATTGCCCTCCCAAGCCACTCACTTCTCTTCTAATATGCTCTGCCATGGACACCCTTTCACTCGTCCTCAATTTGGCCTGGCACTGCTGTTCTCCGGCCCTCACTCCTCCCTCGCTCCCATCTCTTCTACCCTTCCCCTCACCTGCAGAGCGAGGCAACGTTGCTGGCAGCAGGCGAGGCGCTGGCGTTCGTGTGGGGTCCGGTGGACTGCCCTCCCTTCCGGCCCACCCTGCTGCTCTCCGGCCCTCACTCCTCCCTCGCCCCCATCTTCAACGACGCTGATGACGCTGCTGCCGCCGCGCTACAGGACAAGGCGCGCCGCCCCAAGCGGGAAGCAGATGTGCAGATGGGTGATGCGAGTGGTGAGGCAGGAAAGGAGGAGACGGCAGGTGGGCAGGGTGGAACAGGAGCAACAGCAGGAGCAGGAGCAGGAGAAGAGATGGAAAGAGAGAAAGAAGGGCAGGCTGTTGCTGATGTGATGATGGGGGAAGGGGGGCAGGAGACCTCAGCGGGCGAGGGGAGGAAGGAGGGAGAGGGGAGCGAGAGGGTGTGGGGAGGCGAGGCGATGGAGGCGAGGTGGGAGAGCATGAGGAAGGTGCTGGTGGAGGAGCTGCTGGTGAGCAGCCGCAGTGAGGAGCGCTGTGCGGGGGCCGTGTGGCTCATGTCGCTGCTCTCCTTCTGCGGCCACCACGCCTCCATGCAACGCCTGCTGCCGCAGCTCCAGGTATGCCACCTCCCTTGTTGAGTCGACTTAGAAGCATGCTGAACCAGCTGCAGGCAGGTACCCTGCTTCCCTGTTCCACCACTACAAGTCACCTTGTCCACCCACCCACCCACCCCCTGTGCCACGCTGGGAGTTCTTGATACTGGTTCAAGCCCCTCCCTCTACCGCCCTATCACACACCCACCCACCCCCCTGCTCGCACCACCACCACTACCAGGACGCGTTCAGTGCACTGCTGGGCGATTCCAACGAGCTGACCCAGGAGATGGCGTCCCGTGCCATGTCTCGCATCTACACACTGGGCGATGCCGGCACCAAGCAGCTGCTCGTTGCTGCTCTTGTCGCTAACCTCACTGGCGCTGCCGGGCAGAAGCGCAGCGGGAAGGTGGGAGAGGGGAGTGGGAAGGGAGGGGGAGTGAGCGGGGGAGACTGAGTGGGGAAGACTGGGGAGTGAGGGGGTAGTGGGAAGGAATTGAGTGTTCACTGTGCATGCCTTCTTGCATGTTCTCCTCTCATTTCTCACCTCCTCCTTTTGCCTCCGCCCTGCTCTCCTTCAACTCTCATTCATCCCCCCTCACCCTCCAAACCTCCTCCACATCTCCCATCACCCCACCCTTCCTTACTCCCCTTCCTCCTTCTCCACCCACTCTTCTTCCTCTTTCTCCCCCCACTCCCCTTCCCACCCACCCCACAGCTACTGGGCGACACAGAGGTATTCACAGAGGACTCAGTCGCGCGCAACACCTCCTCCTCCTCCATGCGAGCAGGGGCGGCGGGCAGCAGCAGCAGCGCGGCGAGCTCAGCAGGGCGGGCGCAGAGCAGCGTGGGCGTGAGCACGTACCGCGAGCTGTGCAGTGTGGCCACGGACATGGGGCAGCCCGACCTCATCTACCGCCTCATGGACATCGCCAACCACCATGTGCGTTATGTGCCCCTCTTGCCCTTGCCATTAACCGGGGGAACGGGTTGGAGATGGGCTTGCGGGGTGGGGAAGGGGGAAGCAAGGCAAGGCAAGTTGTGGTTGAGTCGAGCTGTGCAGTGTGGCGACGGACATGGGGCAGCCCGACCTCATCTACCGCCTCATGGACATCGCCAACCACCATGTGCGTTATGTGCCCCTCTTGCCCTTGCCATTAACCGGGGGAACGGGTTGGAGATGGGCTTGCGGGGTGGGGAAGGGGGAAGCAAGGCAAGGCAAGTTGTGGTTGAGTCGAGCTGTGCAGTGTGGCGACGGACATGGGGCAGCCCGACCTCATCTACCGCCTCATGGACATCGCCAACCACCATGTGCGTTATGTGCCCCTCTTGCCCTTGCCATTAACCGGGGGAACGGGTTGGAGATGGGCTTGCGGGGTGGGGAAGGGGGAAGCAAGGCAAGGCAAGTTGTGGTTGAGTCGAGCTGTGCAGTGTGGCGACGGACATGGGACAGCCCGACCTCATCTACCGCCTCATGGACATCGCCAACCACCATGTGCGTTATGTGCCCCTCTTGCCCTTGCCATTAACCGGGGGAACGGGTTGGAGATGGGCTTGCGGGGTGGGGAAGGGGGAAGCAAGGCAAGGCAAGTTGTGGTTGAGTCGAGCTGTGCAGTGTGGCGACGGACATGGGGCAGCCCGACCTCATCTACCGCCTCATGGACATCGCCAACCACCATGTGCGTTATGTGCCCCTCTTGCCCTTGCCATTAACCGGGGGAACGGGTTGGAGATGGGCTTGCGGGGTGGGGAAGGGGGAAGCAAGGCAAGGCAAGTTGTGGTTGAGTCGAGCTGTGCAGTGTGGCGATGGACATGGGGCAGCCCGACCTCATCTACCGCCTCATGGACATCGCCAACCACCATGTGCGTTATGTGCCCCTCTTGCCCTTGCCATTAACCGGGGGAACGGGTTGGAGATGGGCTTGCGGGGTGGGGAAGGGGGAAGCAAGGCAAGGCAAGTTGTGGTTGAGTCGAGCTGTGCAGTGTGGCGACGGACATGGGACAGCCCGACCTCATCTACCGCCTCATGGACATCGCCAACCACCATGTGCGTTATGTGCCCCTCTTGCCCTTGCCATTAACCGGGGGAACGGGTTGGAGATGGGCTTGCGGGGTGGGGAAGGGGGAAGCAAGGCAAGGCAAGTTGTGGTTGAGTCGAGCTGTGCAGTGTGGTGACGGACATGGGGCAGCCCGACCTCATCTACCGCCTCATGGACATCGCCAACCACCATGTGCGTTATGTGCCCCTCTTGCCCTTGCCATTAACCGGGGGAACGGGTTGGAGATGGGCTTGCGGGGTGGGGAAGGGGGAAGCAAGGCAAGGCAAGTTGTGGTTGAGTCGAGCTGTGCAGTGTGGCGACGGACATGGGACAGCCCGACCTCATCTACCGCCTCATGGACATCGCCAACCACCATGTGCGTTATGTGCCCCTCTTGCCCTTGCCATTAACCGGGGGAACGGGTTGGAGATGGGCTTGCGGGGTGGGGAAGGGGGAAGCAAGGCAAGGCAAGTTGTGGTTGAGTCGAGCTGTGCAGTGTGGCGACGGACATGGGGCAGCCCGACCTCATCTACCGCCTCATGGACATCGCCAACCACCATGTGCGTTATGTGCCCCTCTTGCCCTTGCCATTAACCGGGGGAACGGGTTGGAGATGGGCTTGCGGGGTGGGGAAGGGGGAAGCAAGGCAAGGCAAGTTGTGGTTGAGTCGAGCTGTGCAGTGTGGCGACGGACATGGGACAGCCCGACCTCATCTACCGCCTCATGGACATCGCCAACCACCATGTGCGTTATGTGCCCCTCTTGCCCTTGCCATTAACCGGGGGAACGGGTTGGAGATGGGCTTGCGGGGTGGGGAAGGGGGAAGCAAGGCAAGGCAAGTTGTGGTTGAGTCGAGCTGTGCAGTGTGGTGACGGACATGGGGCAGCCCGACCTCATCTACCGCCTCATGGACATCGCCAACCACCATGTGCGTTATGTGCCCCTCTTGCCCTTGCCATTAACCGGGGGAACGGGTTGGAGATGGGCTTGCGGGGTGGGGAAGGGGGAAGCAAGGCAAGGCAAGTTGTGGTTGAGTCGAGCTGTGCAGTGTGGCGACGGACATGGGACAGCCCGACCTCATCTACCGCCTCATGGACATCGCCAACCACCATGTGCGTTATGTGCCCCTCTTGCCCTTGCCATTAACCGGGGGAACGGGTTGGAGATGGGCTTGCGGGGTGGGGAAGGGGGAAGCAAGGCAAGGCAAGTTGTGGTTGAGTCGAGCTGTGCAGTGTGGCGACGGACATGGGACAGCCCGACCTCATCTACCGCCTCATGGACATCGCCAACCACCATGTGCGTTATGTGCCCCTCTTGCCCTTGCCATTAACCGGGGGAACGGGTTGGAGATGGGCTTGCGGGGTGGGGAAGGGGGAAGCAAGGCAAGGCAAGTTGTGGTTGAGTCGAGCTGTGCAGTGTGGCGACGGACATGGGACAGCCCGACCTCATCTACCGCCTCATGGACATCGCCAACCACCATGTGCGTTATGTGCCCCTCTTGCTCTTGCCATTAACCGGGGGAACGGGTTGGAGATGGGCTTGCGGGGTGGGGAAGGGGGAAGCAAGGCAAGGCAAGTTGTGGTTGAGTCGAGCTGTGCAGTGTGGCGACGGACATGGGGCAGCCCGACCTCATCTACCGCCTCATGGACATCGCCAACCACCATGTGCGTTATGTGCCCCTCTTGCCCTTGCCATTAACCGGGGGAACGGGTTGGAGATGGGCTTGCGGGGTGGGGAAGGGGGAAGCAAGGCAAGGCAAGTTGTGGTTGAGTCGAGCTGTGCAGTGTGGCGACGGACATGGGACAGCCCGACCTCATCTACCGCCTCATGGACATCGCCAACCACCATGTGCGTTATGTGCCCCTCTTGCCCTTGCCATTAACCGGGGGAACGGGTTGGAGATGGGCTTGCGGGGTGGGGAAGGGGGAAGCAAGGCAAGGCAAGTTGTGGTTGAGTCGAGCTGTGCAGTGTGGCGACGGACATGGGACAGCCCGACCTCATCTACCGCCTCATGGACATCGCCAACCACCATGTGCGTTATGTGCCCCTCTTGCCCTTGCCATTAACCGGGGGAACGGGTTGGAGATGGGCTTGCGGGGTGGGGAAGGGGGAAGCAAGGCAAGGCAAGTTGTGGTTGAGTCGAGCTGTGCAGTGTGGCGACGGACATGGGACAGCCCGACCTCATCTACCGCCTCATGGACATCGCCAACCACCATGTGCGTTATGTGCCCCTCTTGCCCTTGCCATTAACCGGGGGAACGGGTTGGAGATGGGCTTGCGGGGTGGGGAAGGGGGAAGCAAGGCAAGGCAAGTTGTGGTTGAGTCGAGCTGTGCAGTGTGGCGACGGACATGGGACAGCCCGACCTCATCTACCGCCTCATGGACATCGCCAACCACCATGTGCGTTATGTGCCCCTCTTGCCCTTGCCATTAACCGGGGGAACGGGTTGGAGATGGGCTTGCGGGGTGGGGAAGGGGGAAGCAAGGCAAGGCAAGTTGTGGTTGAGTCGAGCTGTGCAGTGTGGCGACGGACATGGGGCAGCCCGACCTCATCTACCGCCTCATGGACATCGCCAACCACCATGTGCGTTATGTGCCCCTCTTGCCCTTGCCATTAACCGGGGGAACGGGTTGGAGATGGGCTTGCGGGGTGGGGAAGGGGGAAGCAAGGCAAGGCAAGTTGTGGTTGAGTCGAGCTGTGCAGTGTGGCGACGGACATGGGACAGCCCGACCTCATCTACCGCCTCATGGACATCGCCAACCACCATGTGCGTTATGTGCCCCTCTTGCCCTTGCCATTAACCGGGGGAACGGGTTGGAGATGGGCTTGCGGGGTGGGGAAGGGGGAAGCAAGGCAAGGCAAGTTGTGGTTGAGTCGAGCTGTGCAGTGTGGCGACGGACATGGGACAGCCCGACCTCATCTACCGCCTCATGGACATCGCCAACCACCATGTGCGTTATGTGCCCCTCTTGCCCTTGCCATTAACCGGGGGAACGGGTTGGAGATGGGCTTGCGGGGTGGGGAAGGGGGAAGCAAGGCAAGGCAAGTTGTGGTTGAGTCGAGCTGTGCAGTGTGGCGACGGACATGGGACAGCCCGACCTCATCTACCGCCTCATGGACATCGCCAACCACCATGTGCGTTATGTGCCCCTCTTGCCCTTGCCATTAACCGGGGGAACGGGTTGGAGATGGGCTTGCGGGGTGGGGAAGGGGGAAGCAAGGCAAGGCAAGTTGTGGTTGAGTCGAGCTGTGCAGTGTGGCGACGGACATGGGGCAGCCCGACCTCATCTACCGCCTCATGGACATCGCCAACCACCATGTGCGTTATGTGCCCCTCTTGCCCTTGCCATTAACCGGGGGAACGGGTTGGAGATGGGCTTGCGGGGTGGGGAAGGGGGAAGCAAGGCAAGGCAAGTTGTGGTTGAGTCGAGCTGTGCAGTGTGGCGACGGACATGGGGCAGAGAAAGGGCATGTGGTGGCTGGGCGCGTGCGTCCTGTCCCTTTCCTGCCTTAGCCCTTGCAAGTGCTGCTCTTTTGGTCTTGACAGAATGGTATGTGCAGGTGTTGCTGCCTGTCAGTCAGTTGCTCTGTACGATCTACCCGCATGTTAACCATATCGGTTTCAACCTTCCGTCTCCGCCAACTCCCTCTGCCCACCTCCCACCCCGACCCAACCGCTCCTCCACCCACTCACATCTCACCCCACCCCGCCCCCTTCCCACCCTTCTCCCCGCCCCCTTCCTCCCAACCCCTTCCAGGCGGCCCTCAACTCCAACCGAGGAGCCGCCTTCAGCTTTGCAGCAGTGGCAGCAGAAGCCGGCGCAGCGCTAGAGCCGCACCTGCCGGCACTCCTCCCGCGGCTGCTGCGCATGATGTACGACCCCAACCGCCCCCTCGCAGAGGCTGCCGGGCACATCTGGCGCGCGCTGGTGCGCGAGCCCAAGGCCACGGTGGACCGGCACTTTGATGAGATTGTGAATGACCTGATGGGGAATGTCACGGGGCGTCTGTGGCGCAACAGAGAGGCTGCGTGCCTTGCGCTTGCTGACCTGCTGCCTTCGAGACGGTTTGCAGAGGTGCGTGGGGGAATTGGGGGCGAGGGAGGGGGGGTTGGGCGGGGTGGAGGTGGGTTGCGGGAGTGGAATAGGAGATGGAAATGGATGGATTTTGTGTGAGGTGATTTGCTTTTGGGGGGTTGTTGACCCACAGTTTCAATCACACTTCGTCTTGTAGCAAGTTGTTCTTTTCAGCACTCCAGTAGTACCCTTGTCCCACCACACCGCCAGCTCCTTGCATGGGGAGGCATGTTATGCTAACATGATGATATCATGTTAACACCTTCCTCGTGCATGCTGCTGTACTAACTTGTTTGTGTATATGAACGCCATGCCTGAACAGCAGAACTGCATCCGAATACATATTTGGGTTCCATATACCCTTGTCCATGTGCTCACATGCCCACTTGCTCACTTGCTTACATGCCCACACGGTCACACCTCCCCCTCCTCAGATATCAAATTATTGCAGGGGGGGGCGGGTAGTGGCACAAGGAACTAACCATGTCAGGTTTTGTTTGACTACTCACCCCACCCCCAGGTATCGGGGCACCTGCAGCAGGTGTGGGTGGTGTCATTCCATGCGTGCGATGACATTAAAGACAGTGTGCATGTGGCTGGGGAGAAGTTCCGCCTCGCCGCCACGTCGCTCACCGACTTTTGAGACGCCTCGTAACTAACCATTTCGGGTTCCGTATGACTCATCCCCCCCACCCTCTGCAGGTATCCAGCCACCTGGAGCAGGTGTGGGTGGTGTCATTTCGTGCGTGCGACGACATCAATGAGAGCGTGCGTGTGGCAGGGGAGAAGGTGTGTTTCCCCTAGGTATTTTTGAGACAACTCACTGACACGCCCACGCATTTCCCTGTTCCCCTCCACAGGTTTCCAGTCATTTGGAGCAGGTGTGGGTGGTGTCATTCCGTGCATGCGACGACATCAAGGACAGCGTGCGCGTGGCCGGAGAAAAGCTGTGCCGCGCCGCCACATCGCTCACCGTGCGCCTGTGCGACCCCACGCTCACTCCACGCGCCGACGCACACGCAGCGTGCAGCGTGGTGCTGCCCGTGCTGCTGGCGCAGGGCATGACCTCGTCCGTGGGCTCTGTGCGCCACCTCGCCCTCTCCACCACTGCCAAGCTCGCCAAGGTGGGTGGCAGAGGGGGAGGAAGGAGGGAGAGAAGTGAGGGGCGTTGTTGAGATATCTCAGCAACAACTTGCTGGCGCTGGGCATGACTTCATCCGTGGGCTCTGTGCGCCACCTGGCTCTCTCCACCACTGCCAAGCTCGCCAAGGTACCCGTTGGGGGGGTAAGGGAGGGGAATTGTTGTACAGCAAAGTGCTCCTGAAGAACTCTTTGTTGGCACACGCAGGGAATGGCGTCCTTGTTGCGAGTTCTCAAGAGTGACTCTGGTTTGTGTGGGATGGGGATTGTTGTTGAAAATCTTCCCACAGCGCCCTCCTGGCGCAAGGTAGGGCCACCACTGCGTGCCACCACTGCGTGCCACCACTGCGCGCCACCACTGCGCGCCACCACTGCGTGCCACCACTGCGCGCCACCACTGCGCGCCACCACTGCCAACTCACCAAACTCCCCCACTTCTTTGTTCTTCCACCGTCCACCACCTCTCCCCATCGCAGGGAGCGGGAGCATCGGTGCAGCCGCATCTGGCAGCGCTGGTGCCGGCCATGCTGGAAGCGCTCTCAGGCCTGGAGGACCAGAACCTCAACTACGCTGAGGTGCGCGGGGTGGAAGGGGTAGGGGTAGGGGCAGGGGCAGGGGCAGGGGCAGGGGCAGGACGCCGGGGCCAGGGCCGGGGCCGGGGCGGGGGCGGCTTGGGCTAGGGCTGGTTCTTGGGTGACGCATGTAGTGTAGTGTGGAGATTTTTGCAGGAGAGCAGCAGAGCACGCACATGCACAGGAGCTTGTGGTGATGTGCGCATGCACGTGCACAAATGCCCATCTGTCTTCTTCGTTGACTGTCTCATCTGCCTGCTTGCCAAGTCTTCTTTTTTTTGGCGGCTCAGAAATGGATGCCTCAATATTTTCAACACCGCCGATCCCTGTCTCATCTGCCTGTGTGAGCCACTTCCATTCCTTCACCCCACTGTCCTTCTTGTCCGTTGCACCCTCCCACGCCCGCCCTGCCGTTCCTCTTTCCACGGCACGGAGCAGCAACACGCGGAGAGGGTGGGCATCAGCAGTGAGAAGCTGGAGGCGGCACGGCTGGCCATGTCCCGAGACACGCCCATGTGGCACACACTCGATGCGTGCCTGCAACAGGTGCGTGCATTGTTCCTTAGTGCTTGTTGCTTGCTGCTCACTGCATTTGGTTTCTGTCTCCAGCTAGCTACTCGTGCGGTCCATTAGTCAATTCTTCCCTGTACCTGTGTGCTTCTCTGTCTGTCTTTCTGTGTATCCGTTTCGATCCCGTTTCTGCTGTTCCCTCCACCTTTTTGCTATTGCCCTCCACCTGTGCTCTGCTATCCTCTACCTTCCCCTGCTACCTACCCTGTTACCCTGTTACACTGCTGCTTTGTTGCAGGTGGACGAGTCCTGTCTGCCTGACCTCCTACCTACACTCAAGTCCCTCACGCGCTCCTCTGTGGGCCTCAACACCAGGTGCCGCGCAACCTGATCCCGTCCCCAACCCAATGCCTACTCGTTGCCATAATCCCCATTCCTACATTCGACCAACATCTCACCATCCCTCCTGCCTGCTTCCTCACGAAACGGGCCCCTTAACTTCCTGACCTAGCTCGAATGCCGCCATCACCCCCCTCAGAGTCCGCATCCCTCTGCATTCCTCCTCATCCCTTCTCATCCCTCCTCATCTCTCCGCACCTCCCCTCCTCTGCCCTGCCGCTTCCCCTCCCCCATCAGAGTGGGTGTGGCTCGCTTCATCTCGCTCCTCATCCCGCGCGCCGGCCCCACAGCCATGCGCCCGCACGCCCCCGCCTTCCTCAAGACCCTCACCCTCGCTCTCTTCTCCGAGCGCACCTCCGCGGGCCGAAGAGCCTTTTCAGCAGCAGCAGCCGACATGGCCAAATGCGCAGGGGGTGCTGCAGTGGAGAAAACAGTGGGGGAGACGTGTGGGAAGTACCTGGGGGAGGAGGCAGCAGGGCAAAAGGACGTGCGGCTGTGCTGTGCGCTGCTGATGCGGGATGTGGGGAAGGCGTGTCCGGACGATATGCCACCGTGCCACCATGTGTTGCTGCCCACGCTGCTCCTTGGACGGTTAGTCAGGAGGGTCAGTCGAGGGGATGCTAGCTAGCTCACCTGCTCCTTTCCCTTCCCCCTCTCCTCTTCCTTCCCCCCCTGCTCGGATGCCTCTCCCCCTCCTGCACTTCCCTCCACAGCTATATAACCAACCATGCATGCTCGCATCCTCTCCCTGCTGCATGCATGCAAACAATTGCCTTTTATATGAGCGCACCTTCCCTCTTCTACGCCTGCCTCTCTCCACCCACTCTCCCTCACTTCCACCCCTTTCCCCCCCTGACGTGTCTGTTTACCAGGCACGATGAGGACGAGGCAGTGTGGGCAGTGTGGGAGGAGGCGATTCTTGGTCGTCTCAAATTTCACGCACCCACTTCTTCCCCCCACCCCCTCTCCATGCCTGTTACCAGGCACGATGAGGACGAGGCAGTGCGGGCGGTGTGGGAGGAGGCGTGGGACAACGTGGGAGTGGCGGCGTCGGCAGCAGTGAGGGAACACGCAGGGGACATTGCTCCCACGCTCACCGCTGCTGCCTCTTCCTCCTCCTGGACCCGCCGCTGCCAGGTGAGGCAAGGCTACACCGCTGCCAGGTGAGGCAAGGCTACACCGCTGCCAGGTGAGGCAAGGCTACACCGCTGCCAGGTGAGGCAAGGCTACACCGCTGCCAGGTGAGGCAAGGCTACACCGCTGCCAGGTGAGGCTAGAAAGCTGCCAGCTCCTTCCTTTTCCCCTTCCCCCTCTCCATCTCTGACCTTCTCTCTCGTCGCCTCTCCTCCCTTCCACTCCTCAGCCCCCTCGTTTCCTTTCCTCGCGTCCCACCTCTCCCCACTGCAAACAGCAGCAGCCATGGAGGCAGTGGTGAAGGCCATGAGCGTATACATTCCACACACGGCCCTTGCTGCAGTTCCTCTCCTCCCTCTGCTTTTAGTCAGCTCAATGATCACTCCTCCCCACCTCTCCTCCTCTCTCCGCCTTCCCCCACCCCTTCCGCTACAGGCAGCAGCAGCCATGCAGGCAGTGGTGAAGGCCATGGGCACAGACACCCCCCACACCGTCCTGCTGCAGTTCCTCTCCGCCCTGCTGCCACAGCTGCCAGGCCGCTTGTGGGAGGTGAGATAAACCCCATTGAAAGTACTCCCTAAGCATCTAAACCTCCGCTTGCACTTGCCTTTCATGCACGGCCACACGCATTGCTGCTACGATCCATTCCATTCGTTCGTTTATTCTCGTCAGCTAGGTGACATTGCATGTACCATCCTTGTTCCTTCATCTTCCTCCCTCCACATTGTCTCTCTACACCCCCCGTCTCTTCCTCTCCCTCCTCCGCCTCCTTCCCCAGGGCAAGGAGCAGCTGCTGCCAGCCATTGCGGCCATCTGCACTGCATGCCCCTCCGCTCTGCTCTCACTCTCACTACAACCGTCAGCAGCCACACAGGGAGCACCAGCAGCAGCAGCAGAGGCAGGGAAATCAGCAGCAGCAGATGTGGTGGCAGCAGTGCTGGCAGCGTGTGGGCGCAACAAGGCGGCATTCAGACTGGCAGCTCTGCAGAGCCTGCACAAGGTGTGCTGTGCACTTTCTTGCATGCACTTTGACGCGCAAGTTACAGTGCCTGCACCAAGTGGCAAAGATTGACAATAGCAGTATCACAATATCTGGGTACTCTGTTGCTTTCTGCGCCCTTCAGTCGCAGTTATCCAATCCCTTCTGTCTCTCCACCCCTCGCCATTGCACATTACATGTTTATTTTGCTCCCGTGCCACCACCAGTTGTGAGTTGAATTAAAGAATCGCCCTCCTCCCTTTCACCAACAGGTCTTGCATGCTTTCTCGCCCACACCTCCTCCGAAGCAGCAGTTGTCGAAACCATCTGCATCACCAGCACCACCAGCAGCAGCAGCATCAGCTCCAGCATTGGACCTGCTACCTCTGGTGGCACCAGGCTTGATTGCGCTCTTTCCACCCGCATCTCCCACCACTGCACCTGCTGATGCTTCAAAAACTGCATCTGCTGGTATGTGGTTTCATGCAATCTTCCCTGAACATGTCTGTTGAAAGGTAGTTGCTTGTCGTTTTTTCTTGTGCTGGGGAGAAGTGTGGGTTCATTGAGAATGGATGTGCTCACAAGACGTTGTTGCCTTGTTTCTGTATGTCTCTGCCTTCGCAACTGATTATCACAGCTCTTTTCCTCACCGTTTCTCGTATTCCATCCTCCCGCCCTTCCCCCCATCTCCCCCCACGCACACCCCCCACTTCCAAGCAGTAGAGCCAACAGGAGAAGCAAGGGCAACAACAGCGGAGCAGCAGGAGGCGCTGCTAGCTTGTGTCTCTGCAGCTCTCCTCTCTGCAACACCCACGTCCCTGCCACTATACACAACACCCCTGCAATCAGCCCTCTGCGGCCTCCTCTCTTCCAATCCCGTCTGGACAGGTGTGCAAGACCCCCTCTCGACTTTGGCTTCTGTCTGTTGCTCTTGTCTCGCCACGAAGCTTCACTGGTGCATGCACTGTCGCTTTTCCGAGTTCCACCCACTCCTGCAGCTTAGCACCAAGTGAAACCACTACTGCACAGCACTCACACTGTTGTAGCCCTCATCCACTCGCACTCAGGGACCCCTGTTATGCCTTGCTGCCTCGCAATCGTCCTCCTCCCCTTCTCAACCCGCTTCCTTTGGCAGTCAAGCTAGCAGTGCTCAATACGAGCGCCACGTTCCTACCTGCTCTTCTTAAGTTACCTTCGGATGTAAGTTTGTTACGGGAAGAATTCCAATGGTCCTTGAGCATCCAGTGTAGTCGTTTTGAATGTGTGGGCTGCATTGCATCAATCACTGCATATGTAGATGAATGTTTGCAAGCAAGAGATAGGGAGAGTGTGCTCTCATGTGCCCTTCATACGCCCTTCGTGTGCTCTTCACATGCACCCTGCACGTGTTCGTATGGCCATCACCGCATGCCGCTGCATACATGCATGGCCATCACCGCATGCCGCTGCATACATGCACATGTGCAGGCTGCTGTGCACAACACGGTGGCCCCCTTCCTCCCCAGCTTCATCGATGCTCTATCCGACACCAAGCGCTCCCAGGCAAGCAATCAATCCGCCCAACACCTCCACCCACCCCCTCCCAACTCCAGCCCCCTCCTTCCCCCTCCTCCCTCTCCTCCCCTCTTTTCTCCCCCGTCTCTCAACACCCAGTTAGGCCCCCTTCCAAGTTTCCTGTCAGTTGTTGCTCGATCCCTCTCCGCAGGCCCTTCCTTGACTCACTCTCCACATGCCTCTCACATAAGCGCTTTTTGTGCACACACATGTATGTGCACATACGTCGTCTCTGTGATCTGCCCATTCTCGTGCATGTGCCCATGAGAGAACAGACCCGTCAAGCAGCCGTGGAGGCAGTGCAGGCAGCTACAGTGTGCCTGCAGCACCACAGCGCCCTTGAGCCTGCGGACCGGGATTCCCTCACTGCTGCTCTGCGCGATGCTGTGAAGGTGGAGAAGAGTGAGGCTGTCAAGATGGCTGCTGAGAAATGCCTGGAGTTGTTGGGGGGCATGGTGGAATGAAAGGCATGGGTGGAGGGAATGGGGGAAGAAGATTTGTGGTTTGTCAGCGATGGCAACAGCACAAGGCGTAATCGCTGCTGGTGATCTAAGCAGTATGAAAAACACGATGTTAGTTGCCTGGCATACCACAATACTCTTATCACAAGATGTGGCAAATACCAACAGATGATGCTTGTTTCCATTTGAGAGGTGTTAATAGCAAAGAAAACACATGTTATGAGCAGCAAATATACTGAAGTAAAGTACACTGTGATTTCAGCAAAGGGCCAAAACAATTCATACTCGTGATGGTGTCAGGGCTTGTGAGTGCCTGCGTCTGAAGGCGCGGAACCCGAATCGCCCATATTGGGCAGCTGACGGGATTTCGCTTCCATCCAGCAGCTTTGACCAACTTTCGAGAAACTGGTTCTTGTGTGCCTGTGACCGACAAATATATATTTGTTTTAGGCAGCCCTGGAACCCAACGGTTGCTCCCGCGCTTTTCACTCGGAGCCGCGGATTGACTGACAGCCAGCATGCGACGCGGATGATGCTCAGCCCGGCCGTCAACTCAACTTTTCCACCAGCAATCACTCTGGGTAGTAACTCGGACATTTCTTCGATGGAGTAGAGTTGACGGAATCAGCTGATGTTCAACGAGACGCGGGATTGTTGCATCCAGGGTCCCAGGCGACCCGAAACTTTCCATCGGTAGCCATCATGTGCTGCTCTCCCATCACATTCCCTTGACTAGTGCTTCTTGCACCCATCTCCCAGACGAGCAGAATTCTAGCATCTGTCCGCACGCCATCCACACACCAAGCGAACTCTAATCTCCTCCCGAGTCCTGCTACCTTAGCTGAATAAAAGATTCTAACGATAATGATGGGCCCTCCCAAGAGATCCTCACAGCGCGCATCGTCTTCCACTCTCGCAGTCTTGTGCGCGCTGCTGCTACTGGTGTTCCCATGGCAGCACGCGGCAGCGCAGCTACCGCACGACATCCCCACCATTCCCATCGGCTTCATGCTTCCCGACCCTGACCACAGTTCCGCCATCCCCTCGTCGCTCGCCAAAGAATGGTGCGCACTCGCTCTTCCCTCTCGCGCCTGGTCTTTCCTTCCTCTCACGCGTCCGCCGGTCTTTCAGCCGCACACTCCTCGTCGCGTTACTCTCCTCTTCGTCTGTTTCCCATTCAAAAGGATCACAAAAACTTACCGAATAACGACGTTGTCCGTGCGTGGAGGCAGCTTGAATGGATTGGAAAGGGAAATTAAGAACAGGGGTTCTGACTAAAAAACGGGTCTCTTTTTCTTCCATTTGGGGCCACTGTATGTTGTTGCATGACATCACATGGCATGGAATGGCATGAAATGCATGGGATCCAACGGCATGGCATGGTGCGACTCTCTCGCAGGATGAGCGCAGCACAGGTGGCGGTCGACGTCCTCGCTCCAGACTACATTGACTTCACCATCGAGCCCATCATTGTCGAGACGGACTGTAACGCGGACAGCGCGCGTGTGGCCGCCAAGTCGCTGGTGGAGCGCGGAGTGGTGGGCGTGGTGGGACCCGCGTGCAGCGAGGCGGTGGTGGGCGCGGACGAGGTGTTCCGCCGCCAAGGCATCCCCTTCGTGTCCTTCGCCGCTACCGCCGACGTCTTCCGCCAAGGCGTGCAGTTCTACTCCTTCTTCCGCACCGTGTACGCGCCGCCATGCCGTCCCGCTCTCTGCTCTGCGCTGTTGCACTCCTTCCGCTCCGTACTCGGCCTTCCCTGCAGCTCCCTATTCCTGTTCTTCTTTACCTCATCCCCACTCTGCTTTGACTGCTTCGTATCTTGCGTCGTTCGAGAGTTCGCTTCTCCCCGTTTCCCCTCCTATTCTTTCCCCACTCTCGCCTTGCGCCCCCCGCTCCGCTCCTCCTTTTCCCTCCCTCTCTTTCGCTTTAGCAGTTTTCGTCGTGCTCATCTATTGCTTGTCCAACATATCGTTCTTCCTCCTTTCTCCTCCACGTCCTGGTATCAGGTTCGGCGATCGCCACCAATCAGCGGCCATTCGCAACGTGGTAAGTGGAATGCCGATGGCTTTACATTGCACGGCACAGCATGGCACGACATAGAACGACATAGCATGGCATATCCTCAGGCGTGAAAGGAGCACACTGATATGGCGGTTGGCTGTCGCGCGTAACAGAGTTTCACCCTGAGGACTCTTCCAACTCCCTCTGCCCAATCCTCCTCGTCCTCTCCCATTTCCCGCTCGCCACTATCACAAGTCCAGTCCGCCAATCCCTTCTCTCTTCGACTCTTCTCCCTCTTCCCCCCCGCACTCCTCTCCGCGCAACCCCCTCCCTTCCCCGCGCGTCCTCCCGCAGGTGCAGCACTTCGGGTGGAAGAAGCTGTACGTGTTCTACTCGGACGACACGTACGGCCGCGCGCTGGGCTACGACGTGTCCGTGGAGCAGGACGCGGGGGTCGCCACGCACCTCATCCGCGTGCCGTACCCGCCGCCCGCCGACTGCTCGGCGCTGTTCGCCGCGCCGGACGGGAACGGCGGGGTGCTTCAGGGCGGGGAGGACACGGCGGTGGTGATGGCGGTGCTGCCTGCTGTGGCGGAGTGCCTGTGGAAGGCCGCTGATAAGCTGGTGAGCGCGGGTTAGGCGGCGCGTTTTGGCGCGTGGGAGGGAGGGGTGGGGGGATGTGGGAGTCTGAGGGCATGCGTGAGACGGGTGGGGATGGGAAGGCGGGGAGGATGACGGGGAGGCAGGTGGGGCTGGTGGAGAGCGCGAAGCGGGAGGGCGGGAAGGCGGGAGGCGGGACGGGTGGATTGGTGTGCACCTGGGCGCTGTTTGTACAGCCCATCCCATGCCTCGCACATGCACCTGCCACCCGCCCGCAACCCTCCTTTTTCCCTAACCCGTCCTTGCCGCACGAGCTCCCCTTCCCTCGTTCCCTCCCCTCTGCGCGCAATGCCTCCTGGCCTACAGAACTGCACACTGTTGCTTCAACCACAACCGCCCTTCCTCACCGCTCTCCCTTCTCCCGTCTCCTCTCTCCCCTCTCCCTTCTCTCGTCGCCCCTGTCCCCTCCCCCGTCGCCCCACCAGAACCTGCTGCAGTACCCCTGGTGGTACGTGGGCACGGACGGCGTGGTGGCGCTCGACTTCTCCGACGCCGCCTCCAGTTCCCCCGAGAGCGCGCTCGCCGCCAAGCTCCGCGGCGAGCTGGGCGTCGCGCCTTTCGGTCAGTTTCCGCCACTGCTAGCTCCTTTCCTCCTGCTGGGCTAGCAACGCTATCCCCTATCACGCCATTCTTGCTCCTTCTTAGCTTCCTCGTCCGCTGTGTTCGTCGCCTTCCTACCCCCGTCCCTCCACCATCTCCCACCCGTCCTTCACCTCCTTTCCACTTCGTACATGCTCTCGTGGGGTTCTTTTCACATGACAACTCCTTGCAACGGTTCTTAAGACTGATATAGCAGTCACACGCCAAGCTTCTTACTCCCTCCCCTCCGCTTCATCCCAGCCAACTTGTTTCAGCGCTTCCTGGATTCCCCCATAACCTCCGCACTCTCTCCACTCGTGCTCTTGCGCACCCACTTCCTGGCCTCCAGTGGGCGACTTCGCGGAGGACAACACGTTTCAGCGGTTCCTGGACTACTGGAGCGCGCAGTCGTTTGACAAGTTCCCGGGGCTCATCACCATGCCCGTGACCCCGCGCCTGCGCTACCCGCGCGCGTACGTGCCGTACCTGATCGACACGGTGTGGGCGTTCTACGAGGGCATCAACCACATCATCGTCAACCAGCGTACGCACACACGCCGCCCTGCCCTCATCAGCGTTGCGTTCTTTCTCTCGTTCGCTTCCTCCCCTCCTGCGCTTCCTCCTCCGTCAATACCAAAGGATGAGTACCCATTCACCATGTACTGTGCATTTGTATAAAACCCTTTCATCCTCTTCTACACCTTACCTCCATCCTCCCCAGCCCCTTTTACCCCTCTCTTCAACCTTCCCAACCCTCTAGGCACCAACGTGACGGCAGGAGTGCTGCGGCGGTGCTTCAAGAACCAATCACCAGCTTGGCATAGCGAACACGCGTCTGATCCACCCCCATTTTACCCCCCCTCTTCATCTCTTCCCGGCTGTTCTCCCTCCCGCTTCTCAACCCCGCCAGGCGAGAACGTGACGGCGGGGTCCCTGCGGCGGTGCTTCAACAACGAGCCGGCGGGGTGCGTGGCATTCTACGGCGTGACGGGGCAGATGGCGTTCAACGGCAGCACGGGCGAGCGCGCCAAGGACCGCGTGCGCCCCGCCTACTCGGTGCAGCAGCTCGCCAACGCCACGTGGCACGAGGTGGCGGACTGGTCGCTCGCGCGCGGGGGAGATCGGTTGCAGTTTAGTGCGGAGAGCGTGCCGCAGCCGGGGCAGGTGGGTTTGGTTGGGGGTGTGTGTGTGTGGGTGGGTGGTACGATATGTGTGAGTGTGAACGGTCAATCTACTTGCTTAACTCCCTCACCGTTTACTCTCCCTCTTCCTCTCTCTCCCCTCTCACACTAACCAGGCCCCCAGCGGGTTGAGTGGCGGCGTGATTGCACTGATAGTCCTGGCAGTGCTGGCAGTCCTGGGCGGCGTGGCAGCATACGTGGGGCGAATGATGTGGGACAAGAGGCGGCACATCCACCATATGGGCTCATCTTTTAACGCACAGCCGCTCGCCATGGCTGACGAGATGCAGATGGAGCGGGGTAAGGTGCGTCTCATATAGAGCAGCATTGCGTGAAAGTAGCTCGGCGTTGGCTTGAGCAGCTGGGCCTGAGCTTGCACAGTGACAAAGACAATACAGGCTTGGCCGAAGTCAGGAAGGGAAACAGCCATTGGATGGAAGCTGGGCTGATCCCTGTAGGGGAGGGAGATGATATATATACGCATACATCCCGGTGTTATAGGAAAGGGTACTAGAGCAGTGCCCGTTATAGTGTAGCCACTGTATCAACAATATATAACGCTCATGAAGTGTAGCTACGAGATATGAGGTTCCTGCTGTGCCATGCATGCACCCTGTGTGCCATCTGCTAGCATGACTCAATGTTATTACGGTAGGATTACTGGAAACTAATTCAAGTTGCAATCTTAATGCTGGTACCAGTACTAGGTAAGGTTGGTTGGTGGTAGTAAAGCTTTCAGGGCTACTCATGCAGCGACAAACGAAAGTAGTGGCAGTAATACCATACTACTCCACTTGTGGAAAATAGAACTCCAGGCACAAACCCCAAAGATCATATCCTAATCATTAGTCTTCACTATGATGAAATCGGCCGGTTAAGCTCAAGATGTGGCTGTGTGCAAGCTCGCCTATGTGCATGGTGCATGAGTGCTGAATACCAGGATGCATGGTGGTGTGCCAATGAATGCGCGTGGTGCATTGCAAGTATGAGTGTGCCTAAGAATGTCAGTCTCTGTGCGTATATACGTGTATGCTTGTCGTCAAGTGTGGTGATGCATGGCATGGCGAGCGCATCGGTCAGGGCTTGACGCACTTGCCCTTGCGCATGGCATAAGGCTCCTTGCAGAAGCACGTTCCGCGGAAGTCCGCGGGCTTGCACACTGCGTTGGTGGGGCACTTCACATTAGCGCACAGGTCTGCACCGGGGCACACCGGGGTTGATGATGGGAGAGACGGGTAGGAAAGGGCAGGGGGGTTGGTTCAGGGTGGGGAAAAAACTGATCCAAGTGGGGGGTTGCGCACAGGGGAACAGGGAAGCTAGTGTAAAACGCTGGTGTAGACAAAACACTGTAACGGCTGGTTTAGGAAGCTAGTGTGAAGGGTTAATGCAGAAAGCTAGGGAGGAAAATGCTGGGAAGAGTCATGGTGATGATCTGTCAATGTGGTCAATGGATAACTGCTAATCCAGGTGTATGGCCGGCTGCTACTCCACATAGATGGCGAATTACCAATGCATTTGTTTCTGCGCTTGACCAGCGGGGGCGAGCAGGAGCACACGGCCGTGCCGTTGACAGCCTTACACACGGAGGGTGCAGCACAGCGCGCTGATGCACAGGGGTCTGGTGGGGGGTGGACAGGAAGGGGAAGAGGAGCAGAGAAGTGAGGGAAGGCGGAAAGGATTGATATAATGGAAAGTCCAGCTATTCCTTACCGCGTGACTCTATGTGGTATGAAGAGGCAAGATACTGCAGAATGTGGCATGAGGTGGCATAACATGACATTAGTGGCACGGTATGGAGTGATGTGACCCAAGTTTCAGGTCATCTCAGCACTGAGTTAACAAGAGCTGTGCACGGGGAGAAACATGAGGAGAAGAAGCAGGTGACAGAACAAGAGCAGGAACAGAGCGGCACGGCGGCGAGAGACACAGCATCTAGAGACACGCACCGTTGTTACCGCCGCCCCCGCCGGTCTGCTTGACGCACTTGTTGCCTGACATCACTTGCCCCTTGGGGCACACGCACTTCACCTTGCCGCTCACCACCTTGCATGTGCTGCCGCCCGGACACTTGGTGGTCATGCACAGGTCTGCAGAGAAGGAGGTGGGAGAAGACGAAAAAGAGGAGAGTTGTTTTAGAGAATAACCAGTTGACGCCTACGAAAAGGTCAGGAAGGATGGGAAAGAGAGAAGCGCAGGGAAACTGACACGAGGAAAGTGGCGGTTACCGACGGAGGACGCGGCGGGGTGAAAAGGGTGGAGGCGAGGGGAGTGGAGCGGAAGGGGAGTGGGGAGGTTAGGTTGTTGAGTTAAGGAGGAGGCACCTTTGCATTCGGAACCGACGACGTAGTAGGGCGGCTTGCACCTACACGTGGCTGAACCATCGTCGTCCACCTCGCACACTCGGTTGGTCGCACACCGCACCGTCGCGCACGTGGCTGGCGACACAGACGAAACGGGTCCGAGAGATTGTGCACCGCACGGGAAAACGAAAATGACGGAAGTGACTTCCTAGCTCTATAATAAAACAATGAAAGGTACACTCAGCGGAAGTATATCTATGCGGGTTGCCTGATGCCGCGAATGAGTAGAGCGGGGTTGATCGTGCGACATAAGGCAAGAACGGAACGGCGTGGGGTATTGCGAACTGTGAAGATGCGAGGGTGTGCGACGAGAGAGAGTGCCATGGCGGATGTTTGTGCGAGTGATGTCGAGACGAACGGATATCGTTGTACGGTGAACACACGCATGAAAGGGGTAGAAGGCAGACGCGAGAAGAGAAGAACATGGGACGGAGAAGGGGAGGTGGCGTACGAAGTAATTTTGGTGGTCAATTGAGTAAAAAGTGTAGAGTGGACTCTAAAAGAACGGCACACCGAGCTAGTGATGAGTTCTTAAAACCAGGTCAAAAAGGTTGAATGGGGTTAAAAGGAGCAGCGTACAGAGGCATTTGTCCTGCGACTTGAAGAAGCCGGTGTTGCACTCGCACGACAGAGAGCCGTTGGTGTGCTTCACGCAGCGAGAGTTGGCGGTACAGCGCACCGACGCACACGTTACTGGGATAGCTGGTTGGTTCGGCGGATTTAGTGCGAGAGGGTGGCGAGACAGAGAGTGAGAAGGGGGTTGAGGGACAGAGAGGGAGAGGAAAGGGGAGGGAGGGAACGGGAGAAGGGGAGGGGGAGGGAGCGAGAGGGGGAGGGAGAATGTGAGTGAAAGTGAGAGAGAGTGTGTGTGTGCGTGAGAATGAATGGGAGAAAGAGAGAGAGAGAGAGAGAGAGAGAGAGAGAGAGAGAGAGAGAGAGAGAGAGAGAGAGAGAGAGAGAGAGAGAGAGAGAGAGAGAGAGAGAGAAAGAGAGGAAGAGAGGAAGGGAGAGAAAAAGAGAGGAAGGGAGAGAGAGAGAGAGAGGGAGAGAGGGAAAGAGAGACAACTCGAGAAGCACAAAAAACGTCGATCCCAGCAGATCACACCACGTAATCTCCAAGCCACAAAGAACCTACCTTTGGCGTTGGCGGCAACAGCAGCGGCGAGAAGAGCGAGGAGGAGAATAACACGCGCGCTAGGCCGACTCATGGGAGATGGCTGCCTCATCGTGAGAAACGCGCAAACACACAATCCGTTTCAGCTGGGCTTCCTACAAGAGAAAAAGTATCTGAAATGTGAGTGCAGGCAGAGTACTCTGCGACAGTGTGTGAAGTGGAAATGGAACAGCGTGAGTCTTGCTCAGGCCTAGTAGAGAGTAACAAGCGTAGTGTGGTGTATGTGGGCCAAGTAAACTTCTGGAGGGAGGGAAGGTGGTGGTGGTGGAAGTATCCCGCCGACATGCGTTCACCCGACATCACAACACCCACCCTACCCAGCCCAGCACAGCCAAGCGAGGAGAGAAATTCGCGCAGCACTTTCGAATCCCCGCCGCGCGTCACGGAAAGCAATGACTGCACAGTACAAGTACGGTTTGACTTGCCATAAATTCGCATAGAATCAGTGTAGAAGTCATGTATGAAATACCCCATATGACTCTGGAGCAGCATATCACATGACCCCAAGAGCGGGCCTGCTTGATGAGATTGGGAGAACGAGCATCACTGAAATGAACTCAGGATGCGGGCACTCAAGGGAGCTGACGGGCATGACGAGCTTTGGCAGGCATGTGCCAGTGGTGCCATGGAAGGAATCACGGATCCTGCAGAACAGCACTTTTGGATGTTGAAAACAATGGCAAGCTTTATATGAATGAAGTCCCATGCCGTGCAAGACACGCATAATCTTTAATGCAAATGGACGAGCACAACAAGAAGCACGTGTCAAATGTTGTAGCCAGGCCCTCAGATTGGTTTCAGGGTATGCTGATCGATCAGTGTGCAGTGTCCAAAGTGGTGTCCAAATCAGCGTTGGGGGTTAAACTTATGCTGATTTCTTCAGTGTAAATTTTCAAGGGAAACTGAACAATCGGTGTTAAATATATCACTGCAAATACCAAACGGTGTTCTGCCGTAGTTGTTTGGATTATTCATGTAATCGCGAAGGTCTCGGGTTCGATTCCCGTAGGCGGGAGCTATCTGTGTGGGCCGTGAGTTCTTTTCGCGGGAATCTGGTTTGAACACCCCCTGTACACCCATACCCTATCATGTCCGAATCAGTGTGACTCGTTACACTATACTAATTCGTCAGTGTTACTTGTACGGTAACACGCAAAATGGTCAGTGTGACAAAATAGGTTATACTGAAATTTCAGTGCAAAATTGAAGCATATGCTGAATTTCCAGGGAAAACGAAAATCTGAGCTACAAAATCAGCGCAATCAGCGTGTTTTACGCTGATATCTGAGGGCCTGGTTGTAGCCTGTAGTGAGGTTTGTCTTAGGGGGTACAGATGTTAGGGTTTGTTATATGTACCCCAACCCACATCAATGAACCAACACTTTCATTCTTGACATGGTATCACCTAGGTTATGATCCTGTGGGATCCCGTTCCTCTTGTTCACGTCCGTAGCGCCCGAGCCTGTCCCGTACCCTAGTGCCCGTTACGCTCGTATTGTCCCTTAGCGCCTATCGCGCCTGCCGTTACGTCGCTCTCGTGCCCTCGCGCCCGCTGTGCCTGCCGTTACGTCGCTCTCGTGCCCTCGCGCCCGCTGCGCCTGCCGTTACGTCGCTCTCGTGCCCTAGCGCCCGCTGCACCTGCCGTTACGTCGCTCTCGTGCCCTAGCGCCCGCTGCGCTGTCCATGCGCGTCGCGCCGTCCGTCCCGTCCCGTCCGTCCGCGTCACGCTGCCCGTCCGCGTCGCGCCTTCAGTCCCGTCCCGTCTGTCCGCGTCGCGCTGCCTGTCCGCGTCGCGCCGTCCGTCCCGACCCGTCCCGTCCCGTCCGTCCGTCCCATCCCGTCCCGTCCGTCCCGTCCGTCAGTCCCGTCCCGTCCGTCCCGTCCCGTCCGTCCGTCCCGTCCCGTCCCGTCCGTCCGCGTCGCGCTGCCCGTCCGTCCCGTCCCTTTGCGTCGCGGCGCGCTGCCCGTCCGCGTCGCGCAGTCCGTCCCGTCCCGTCGCGTCGCATCGTGTCGCGCTGCCTGTCCTGTCCCGCTGCGTCGCGTCGCGCTACCCCTGCCCGTGGCGCTGCGCCCTCCTAGTCCAGCAGTGTTCGCCCTACTCTGTGTCCCGTAGCGCCCTACCCTATGTCCCGTAGCGCCCTACTAAGTCGCTCTCAGTGATTAGGGTTTCAGCAGCAGCACTTCCCACCTCTTTGATTTTGCTATGGCGACCCCTAGGGTTCTTCGTTTTGACGCTGACGGTAGACCGTTCGAGTTTCCGGTCTGACTCCTACGCGCGCGTCGCCTTTTAGAGAGTCAGGTCCAGGCGGGCGAGTCCCTCTGGGCGCACGCTACTGGTGACCTTCCTGCGCCCGACGACCCTACGCCTTTAGGCCCTGCCCCTAACGACGCCGCCAGAGACCGCTTTACCCGCCAGCGTGCTGACCTGACGGCGTGGAAGTCGCGTGACGCTGCGGCCTGCATCGCTCTTAACAGCCTCCTCTATGAGTCTGAGGAGGCCCACGTCACTCAGGTTCGCACTGCTAGTGAGTTCCTGACTGCGATCAAGGCCCGCTACGCTACTCCCACCACTGTCTCCCTTGGCCGCCTCTTCCTACCGTTCTTGTTCCCTGACCTCGCCTCGTTTGAGCGCTCTGCTGACTTGATTGCTCACCTCCGCTCGCTCGATTCTAGCTACCGCACTGCTTGCACTGACGCATAGATTGCACTGCTTCCCCCTCCTATGGCGATTACTATCTACTTCATTGCCACTAGCCTCCCTGACCGCCTTGCCTCGGTTCGTAACACGCTTCTTCTGAAGCATCCTAGTGAGCTCACTATCGAGGTCCTTGAGTCTGCGCTCAAGGACGTCGAGAGCAACCTCCGCTCAGTAGCCTCCGCCTCTGGTGCTGTGCCCCCTCCACTGTTTCACGGGTGCACTGTCCCTCAGCTGCCCACTTTTACTGCCTCGCTAGCCACTGCCACTACTGACGTGACCGCAGCTGCTGTTACGACTACGTCGCGGTCTCGAGGTAGGGGTGGCAGGAGGGGCGGTCAGGGTGCAGGCGGCGGCGGCGGTGGCAGCATTGGCGGCGGAGGTGGTGGGGGTGGCGTGCCGACCGGTGGCGGCGGGAGCGCAGGGCCTGGAGAGGCGTCTCGTGCAGCGGCCAGTGACTCCCCTACTGCAGCTGGTGGAGGCGACACCCGGACTTGTCAGCCTCCTCCTGGTCTGCCGGCCGCGGTGGGTGGAGCAGCGGCGTGGTACCTGGCCCAGCGGCAGCAGCAGGTGCAGCAGCAGCAGCCCCTCCCCTTGCAGCAGCCCCCGCAGCAGCAGCGGCAGCAGCAGGTTTCGGGGCTGGGACAGCGTCCGCCCCAGCGAGGTGTTGTTCACCCTTCGTGCACCTATCAGGTTCTGACAGGTGCTCGCCGAGGCCAGCCTTGTGGTCGCACCCACCCTCCTGGTCAGTGCTTTGCTCAGCTCACTGACACGGTTCGCTTGGCCTTCGGCATTGGCGGCCCTGCCCCTGACTGTTTACCTCTTGTTCAGACGTACGACTCCGCTCTTTGGGGCATGTCTGCTTCTCAGTTGCTTGATCTCTTAGGAACTCCTCATGCTATGTATGCTGTTGTTGATTCTAGTGCTTCTGACTCTGTTTACTCGTGTGTTGTTAGCTTAGGTGCTAGTCTTGCTGAGTTGCCTGTTGCTAGTGTAGGCACTTGTGTAAACACTAGTCCAGCGCTACTTCGGAGGACGCTTCGCTGTCTTTCACTCTGGACTCTGGGGCTTCGCACTGCTTCTTCCGCGACCACACGACACTTACTCCACTTCCTGCGCCAGTCTCTGTGGCCCTGGCTGATCCCACCTCGGGACCAGTCACTGCTCGCTACACTACTACTCTTCCTTGCTCTGCTGTTCCCTCTGGGTCTCTGACTGGCTTCCACGTCCCCTCGTTCTCGAGGAACTTGGTGGGCGTGAGGCCTCTTGTGAGTCAGCACGTGGGTGTGTGGATTGAGCCCTCTGGTGAGACGGCGGTTTGTGTTGACGGCGACACTTACTCGCCTCTTGCCACCTTTACTGCCGAGCCGGGCTCTGGTCTCTACACACTTCACACTGGCCCTGGTGGGCAGCAGCAGCAGCAGCAGCAGCAGCAGCAGCGGCAGTAGCAGCAGCAGCAGCGGCAGCAGCAGCAGCAGCAGCGGCAGCAGCAGCAGCAGCGACTCCTGCCCCCGGCCCCGGTTACTTCCCCCAGTCTGGTCCCTGCGTCTCACCAGGTTGCTGCGTCCCCCCAGGTAGCTGTGTCTGGTCAGGTTCCCGTGTCTGGTCCAGTTGCTGCGTCGTGCTCCTGCCGGTCGCTTGCACACCCCACCGTTCTGTGGCACCACCGGACGGGGCACCCGTCCCTCCCTCGTCTGCGCGCTATGTCTCGTCAGCGTCTTGACTTAGGCCTCCCGCGTGTCTTGCCGTCGCTGCCGCCTTCGCTTGCACCGCCGTGCGGTCCCTGCGTCGAGGGTCGGCTGCACGCCACCCCTCACTCCTCCTCCCTTCGTCCAGCCACCGAGCCTTTTGAGACGCTCCACTTGGACGTCTGGGGCCCCGCCCCTCGCCTTGGCCCTGAGCGCGAGCGTTTCTTTTTTGTGGTCGTTGACGACTACTCCCGCTACACCACAGTGTTCCCCCTGGCGAAGAAGTCTGAGGTGACTTCTACGCTGATCAGGTGGTTGCTTACCACTGAGGGCACTCGTGGTCGTCGTGTCAGCTGTCTTCACTCTGACCGTGGGGGTGAGTTTCGCTCCGGCATTCTCGCTGGATTCTGTCGCGAGTAGGGCATTCGTCAGTCCTGGACGCTTCCAGAGTCCCCACAACAGAATGGTGTTGCTGAGCGCCGCATAGGCTTGGTCATGGAGATCGCCCGCACCTCCTTGACTCACGCCCGTGCCCCCCACTTCCTGTGGCCCTACGCGGTTAGGTACGCCGCTCACCAGCTGAACCTCTGGCCACGCGTCTCTCGGCCAGAGGCTTCACCGACCAGTCTTTGGACCGGGTCCCCTGGTGTT